CTCTAATACAAATTATTTTGAATATGCTTAATTTCTTGAATTATTTTGTAATTATTTCTAAAATATCTTTTATTTCAGTCAATAAATATTTAATTGTTAAGAAAATTTTTATAAGGCAAAATCGAATTTAGGTCAAAACAGAATGAAAAGAGGAGTTAAACTAAGAACCGTTAATGCTCTGTTAAACATAATAACTCATTTTTGCAAAAAATGTTCGATAGGCCACTAATGCACTGAGCGCCTCATATAATATTGACATTTTCTAAAAACACTTATTTAGTTAAGTATATACGTGTATTTCTTTGTATTTTGGGGGGATATGATTTTTACTTAAATAAGTTTAGGCTCCTTATTTTTTTTCTTTTTTTTTAAATTAAAAATGAATGAATGTAATTTAATCCATTCTTAAATCCTTAAACAGAAAAATATGTTAAGAAAAAAAGGGCAACTAGGGAAAAGGCTAAGAATTGTGCGGTTAACAAAGAATTTCTGTTTTTTTTTAAGTAATTTTCAAAGACTTTTTTATGTAAATTATAAAAGAATTCAATGTAAGTGGCATAAATGAGAGAAAGATGCGGTTTATAATTATTTAAATTACATTTTTTTTACATTGCCAATAAAAATTATACTCATCTGCATTCTTCTCCTTTTGCGTGTATGTACTCATATCGGGTATATTTACATTAAAGTAAATTGAATGAAATCAAGTAATTACTTATTTACTTATTCAATATGTAAGATATAAACATGAAATAAGTAATTGAATTTTATTTTATATTTTTATAAGTATAATCATGTGGTGGTCTTTGAATGTTAATGACACATTCAGAACAATAGAAAAAAAAATGTTATAACAATAATTTCCTGCATGAGGGTTTTAAAATAAAAATTTTGATATTTTATATACATACTTAATGTTAGTATATGTATATTTACATATATACATATGCATGATTCATTTTTAAACATAATATCGATAATGCTAAATGCTCGTGTGATTTGAAGAAACGTTTTTTTAGTCTATGTATACAGGCTACTGAAATATCTTACTCTTCTTCACATTTCAATTGGAAGTCCTGAAACAAAAATATTAACTTAATTGAAATTACCTTGTTGGTATGTATTTCCTTTTTATTCGATTTGAAGTATGTTTTTTTTTTGGAATAAAGTTTTCTAGAGAGATGTGTATAAAGCTATATAATATTGAATATAATTTTTATAGTGACCTGACTGGGCTCTTTGAACCAGAGACCCTTCTGTTAAAGGACCAATGCAATAACCACTGCACCATAGGTCAGGTAGAGGGACCGTATTCCTTGAGTACGAATTTCTTTTCTTTATGTATGCCTTCTTAAAAATTCATAATCGTTCAATAAAATTGTGAATTGACATTACTTTAAAATTGAAATTTACGAACTATAAATACTTATTTACTTAAATTTTTGTAAGATTATTACTATTTCTCTTATCAATAATTAAATAATGAAGCCAAATATAATCCACACGTTTTCACACAAAATCATAATATATAAATGTAAGTACGTATGCTTATTACTAAACCTTATGTGTGCCATTGTGCGATGTGCTTACTCGGATCTAATCTGAATGGAATAATGTGTACATATTATGTATAAATACTTTATGGTATGTAAATAATTTGTTCGTTAATGCCTCTTAATATTATACGTTAATATCATACTCATAGATGAGTAGTGATTTACAAACATGTGTTTATATTTACACATACATACATATGTACATACTTTTGTATGATTAGTGTATCATTTAAGAAATTATAAAATTGAAATGAAATAAGAGAAGAGAAGATAAAAAGTGAAATTATTGTGGCGCCCAATGAATTATGAAACTTTATAGATATTATGTGAACCTACACGAACAGTTTTATGAATAATTTTTTTTTTTTTTACAAACTTCTGTTACGAATTTACATTTTGATTTCATCATAATCGTGACCCTAATAAATTTTTAACTTGTACATACACTTACATATGTTAAATTTTTTCTTTTCTATTTTAATGAAATTTGCTCCCTGAAAGTATTATAAATTTTTTAAAATTAATTAGAATTCCAATATTCTAAAATTACACCGCAAAATTCAGCAACATTTAAGCGCCGTTTTTTATTCCAAATAATGAAAATATCAAGTTTTCAAGTTAAAAGTAACACACTTAATGTTAAATATGGTTCCGTCACATACATACTAATTGTGAAAAAAACAATTTTAAATTAAAAGAAGAATGAAAAAACAACAGCAACGTAAAAAAGTAAAGCCAAAATTCGCAATAAAAATTAAAATGAAAAACAGAAAAAAAATTAAAGGAGAGGCATAAATAGCCCCAAAACCCAGAACAACATAATTAGATATGATAATGAAATGAAAATGGGGAGGAAAACAAAAGCAAAACATGCACAAAAATATGCGGTCAACTAAAATCCCGAGTTTAACGTTTTTTTTTTGTTTTTTTTTTTTTTGCTTAAATTTTTGTTTTGAGTCAAAACTCATTTAAACATTTTTATTCGCGGTTATTGTTCGCTTTTTTCATTCAATTCAACCACCTCGAATAGCTAATGAATAAATGAAAACGTAAAGTTTTTAAAAATGTAAACATGTCATTGTACGGTTTATGCAAAATAAAAAATAAATAAAATTAAAGAGCGGGAAATTATTTGAATTGCTTATTAAAATTTGTAATTGAACATTGGTATTCCGTTTATGATTAACTTCTTTTATATTAAGATTTCATTTATTGTTGAAATTTGGAATTCACTATTTTCCTAAGTATCCTTTACAATTTACAATAAAAATTATTAATATTTAAATATGAATAATTTTTTGCGTTACACAATTATTATGAAAAATTTAATAAATTGCAAATGCATAAAGCAGCAAAGCACTGTCTTTTTTATGAATGATTAAAATGGATACTTCGGCAAAGTTAACACCAAAAGTTATGCTCTTGAAATTGAAAATTATTTAAATTTGTAATATAAATTACGAAGTATTGCAAATTAATTAATTCATCAATATTGAAAATTAATGAGTTTAATTTTGTGCAGTCAAATGAATCCAATTCAATTCTTTCAATGATTCAGTCAATTTGTGGGTCATTTATCGAATTGTTTTTTTTTGTTCAAATTGATAAGATGTTCTTGTTAATCATTTTGTAAAAAAAATTTATAATAAAAGACTTAAAAGATAATTAAATGACATTTCATTTTAGAATCATTTCCAATTTTATTCGTATTAACTTTTGATTAGCATTCCAAATCGAATTTATTATTTTTATTGCTTAATTGACTTCAGAACTTTAGCTTCAATTAATATTTGAATTTAAATTTTTAAATTACATACCAGAACGGCTCCTACCCGCAGAAATTTTGCTTGATGAATTAATTTTTTTCTTATTATTTGTTATTTCTTTTGCAAATTCTATTTTTTTTTCAAGCAGAAAATTGTAAGCAATTGTTTTAGTTTCGTATTACTAAATCCTTTGGGTCTTTTTATCATGTGATTCCTATTTAATTTTTAAGAAGAATAAAAATAAGAAAAAATATTTAAAAAAAAAAACAATTATTTTTCTGTATCAGCATATGTTTTTAAAATGGTATGGGCGCCTAATTTACCTGTCTTCAGAAAAATTTGTATTTAATGGAGCGCATACATATGCATGTATTTTAATATTTTGTCGCGCAGTACTTGGGGTCGAGTTTAATATTCAATTTGGTGGGTAGGGTTTTTACCATTTAAGCAAAAATATTTTGATAGTTTATCCGTAAATAAAGCTACTAAAAAGTGATATTTTATATCTTCTTTCAATTAAATGACGTAATAAAATTTTATTTAGAAATAATCTTATACGATTTCATAGGGAATAGCGAGTTTAATTACTAATTTACGCTTTATATTTACGCATGTTGAAGTCTTTGATCACGCTATACATACATACATACATACTTGAAAACCTTTAAGTTTTTTTGTGTATTTTTATTTTTTTGTTAATTCCGTAGTCTTTTCGTAACAGCGCTTTAATTTATTTAACCATATACCTATTAAATTTAACTTTCATTCTAGAAACAAAATACATTTTTTATTTTTTATGGTTTAACAGTATTTTATCTTATTTTAAGATCTGGATCTTAGAACAACATATTAAAAACTTACATTGTCTGACATATATTTTACTTCATGTCTTTCTTACTATACTGAATACTTATGACAAAATATTATATTTCATTTATGATATAAAGTGAACAACAACTACTTTTTATTCTTCAGGATTTTCACTTTTTCTCTTTATATTCGTAAATTATGTTATAAATATTGAAGATGTTAATTTAATTCAAAATGTGTAACTTGATCAAAAAAACAAGAATTAAGTGCAGACACCAGTAATGGTAATGGTACGGGCGCCATGATAAATAATGTTAAAAAAATGTTTTTACCGAATTTCAAATAAATTTCTATTATTTAATTTCAATAAAAAAATACAAGAGGAAAACATTTCACTTTCATGCAACTAATAAGATATCAAATAAAATCACTGTTTTTTTTTCATGAAATTGTTCAAATTTGGAAAAATGTGGTCCTATTTCATATGATTCACTTCCTGATTTGAAATTACAAATGAAATGAAAACAGGTCGTACTAAAAGTTTTCTCCTAATTCCTATAAGTATACATGCATTTCTTATTTAAGTCTAAAACTTTACGATAGCAAAACTTTTTCAACTTTCTACTTCCAAATATAATAAAATGGTGTTAATTAAACTATCGAATTATTTTTTTCGAAAAAATTTTTCTATTCCACACCCTTGGTTCGTTTGATTTCTATTCCATACCCTTGGTTCGTTTTGCGAGAATAACAATCACCAATTTCAAAGTATTTATTAATAATATTTTAAATATGCTTTGATGAAAAAATATATTTTTTCTTATTAATTTTTGAACTTAAATTAACTATTTTTTTTTTCTCTTTTCAGATATGGAATCTATCGGTGCTAATCTAGTTAATAAGTTAAGATAAATGACACGATAACACAGCGCAAAATTTTAATTTTTGCAAATATTTTGCAATTTTGTTCTTGTTTTTTTTTTAATTTCAACTTTTTTTTTTAATTTATTAATAACTAAATTAGACTTAAAACTGTTTAATAAAGTATAAAATTAAAGGAATTAAAAATTTCTTTACTTTATCCAAATAAAAAAAAAAATTCAAAATTGTTCTTCAATGTAGAAGTTAAATAGAATAACATTCGAAAACAAAATTAATTTTTTAAAAATCAAAAAAAAAAAAAAATTGCATCACAATTTTTTTTTTAATTTTAATAAATAAAAAAAAATATGTCAAGTCGTTGTTACAATACAACCAATTACAATGCGAATGGTAATCAACAACAACAAATTTCTACATCTTCATCAACTGCCAGAAGTTCTGCAATACGAAAATTATCTTATTCAGAAGTTGCATCCACCGGTATAATAACATCGGGTTCGTCAACAACGCCTATGAGTGGTACAGCCGCAGTTGTACAAAATTCAAAAATTCCAACATATTTTTCATCATCAAATTTAATTGAATTGCAACCGGTTAAAATGTCGCATAGCAGTAATATTAATAATAATGGAAATAATGATCATGATTATAAAATTGAAAGCTCAACAGCTGGGTATTCAACACCACCAGTTATAACAACAAATAATACAAACATCAATTATCCAGCAAAATTTAATTCACATTTGTTGGATCATGGTTACGGGGCGACACCACAACCATCTATTCCTGGTCATGATGGTAGTATTGTAAACAGTGGCAATTCTTCGTCAGGTCAACCCAATTATCATAATATGACCGGAAAATATACAACATCTGTAAATAAAAATGATCAAAATATTACAGCATATTATAAAGTAATTTAAAAATTAATATTTTAAACGAATATTTATCCAGTTTTTAACCAAATATTCTTTTACAGCAAGTAAAGCGACGTTTACCGTTGAATGAAAGCTCATCGTCTCCAGTTCCAGTTAAATTGTTTAAAAGTTCGTCAATAATAAACAGTTTTAGTCAACAGCAGCAACAGTCAAGTCAACAACATCAGTCAGCATCTGGTAATTTTCAATATATTAAATCAGAGTCGTCATCATCTATAGCGTCAGGAACGTCAACGCCAACAACTTCACATTCATCATTATCATCATTTTCATCTTCAAATCATAATAGTAATAATAACAATCATCATTCAGGTACAACAGCAACATCAACACCACATTCAGGTAAAAAAAGGCCACCGGATACGTCATCAGCTGCTGGAACACGCGCTGACACATCCTTAGGCATTTTAACAAAAAAATTTATTGATTTATTACAAGAATCTGATGATGGTACAGTTGATTTAAATCTTGCATCAAAAAAATTGGAAGTACAAAAGCGTCGCATATATGACATAACAAATGTTTTAGAAGGTATTGGAATATTGGAGAAAAAAGCTAAAAATAACATTCAATGGAAATGTGGCAATTCATTGATGAGTTTAGAAACTTCAAGGCGGATGCAATTAGAGAGTGAAAGACTCGAGCAAAAAGAAAATCAAATAGATAATTTAATAGATCAAATACGTAGTGAATTAAAAGATATTAATAGTCATGCGTATGTTACGCAACAGGATCTGAGAAATGTTGACATTTTTAAAGATCAAATTGTTATTGTTGTTAAGGCACCACAAGATACTAAATTAGAGGTAAATTTTACCTATATTCAAAATCAAAAATATTTTTCAATTATTGTTGTTTTAGCTACCAGATACAAAAGTTCCGCGTGAAATACATTTAAAAGCTGAAAACAATGGTGAAATAAATGTATTTTTGTGCACTGATTCTAGTCCGCAAACTTCACCAATTCAAAATAAACTGCCTAATGATCCATTATTTAATGATATTCAACCACTTTTAGCGCCAGTTTTAGAAAGTACCAAAAAGAACAGAACAGGTAAGATAAGTTGTAATTTAATGTACCTTTTATAAAATAAAAACATGAATATATTCTCAATGACTTAGTAGTTCAATTTCAAATAAAAATTTAAAAAATTTATAAGTTTATGTACTAAATTAATTCTGTCCAGCAGGTTTGACATATCCAATCCGTTCGGCACAACGAAACTTAAATAAATCAATTGAAGATGCAGCAGCAAATAGTCCAATACACATAGATAATTTTACACCAAAACCAGATCCTGAAACATCGTTAGAAAGTTATTTACACCAAACTGAAACTGCTACAACCTCAACAGCACAATTTCAACACCATCGTTTTATTAAATCAGAAAATAACAAACAAATATCAACATCTTCTGTTACAACAATATCAGAATCCAATTTTGTATCAAATTCGTCAACATCAACGTTGTTGCCCGCAGCAGCAATATCATCAACATCATCATCTATTGTACCTGGAATTAATAATAATATAAGTAATAATAATATTAGTAATATTGAGAATAGTAATAGAAATGATGCTACCGATGAAAATACATTGATTAAATCGATAGCTACAGAATCAATATTCCCAACAACATCAAAGCCAGTTATAACACAAGATCAAATTGATCTTTTAGATATAAGTAACAATCGTATACAGAACTTATATTCAACGACTGGTTCAACCACAAAAATTATTAAATCGGAACCAATTGATCCAACAATATCTTCGATAATTCAACAATCAAATATTAATTTAATCAGTAATAGTAATAATATTAATATTAATAATAATAATAATAATAATAATAATAATAATAATAATAATAATAATAGCAATAATCATATTAATAATCGCGGTAATAATAATACTAATAATAATAATAATAATAATAATAATAATAATAATAATAGTAGGAATAATAATAACAATAGTAGTAGTACTGATACTAGCTGTAACATAAATACTAATAAAGCATCAGTCAGAACAAATTCATCGTCCTCTACGGATAGTTGTAATGATGTAAATAATGGCCTTAAACATGACGTTTCAATGAGCAGTAGTTTATCATTTGCTGTTGATTTAAATACCAATATTAATAGTGGTGATAATAATCATCAAAACCAAGAAGAATCAACTACAATAGAAACAACCGAAACAGATTCATCAAATAGGGATGATAATTCAGATGGTACAAATTTACAAAACAATCATAGGCAAATTCCAACAAATAAAGGTGTTCGAAATACATTAATTTATGGTTCAATTAATCTTAGTCCAAATATATTGCCTTCAAATAATGTTGATCAAAGTTGTGAGTTATTGTTTATTTTTAGTTTTTTTTATTATTTTTGTTAAAATTTATTAAAATTTATTTATGTTATTTGCTATTATTGGTGATCGCTATTTATTTTATTTTCAAATTTGCATTTACATTATTTTTATTTTTATTTAATTTTTTAGTACAAAACTGTGATGCGTTACAATCAATTTTAATAAAGTCGCATCTATATTCATGTATATGTAAAATGAATATATTTGTCTTGTATTGAACGACTATTTTTACATTATTTTTTAACTTGCAAAATTAATTTCAAATTACTGAAAGTTATTTTAACTCTAAAACATTTTCCATCTCCCTCCTCTAGAAACATTTTCTTTGCAATTTTTTATAGAAAATATTCGTTTTTTTTTTTATTCTTGTTCCTATACTTAAGTATAGTATAAAGTTTATTATAACATTTATAAAAATTAAGTATAAACACACAGATTTCCATATTTGTACTTGTAATGTAACATGTTATTTATTGTGTTTTCTACTCAATCACTCTTTTAACGAGGTTTGACAAAGAAAACAGCTCTGATTGATAAAATAAAACTTCGTCACATTATTTTTTGAATAATTGTCAAATAAAGTACATATTTTATGTACACACTTTTGGTTTTAAAAATCACAGTTTGATTGATTTAACAAATTTATGCTTGATTTCTTTATTTAATCCTTAAGCTTTTTAAAATTTATGTAAATTTTTTTATGCATTTTGTTTGGTATTTTAATTTTATTACCCAAAATTAACAAAATTAAAAAAGGAACTTTTATTTTTCTGAAAAATTTGGTGATTTTAAAATTTTTTTAATAAGTGGTGGGAAAATGGATTAAAATTGCCGAGCGGGAACTCTGATTGTGACTGCGTTAAATTTTTTCAATGTAAATTTTTTCAATAAACTTCTATTCAAATTTATTTTGTCTTAAATATTGAGACCGAAAAATTGAGGTAGAATGACAGAAAAAATTTAAATGTTTGAAATCGCATCACAGTCTGAGTTCTTGCTTGGCGATTTTTATATATCATCATACATTGCATCAATTCAAAGGAAACAGAATAGACAATAATATATAAATATTTAATAATTAAGTATAAAAATAGTGGTGAAGTTAGTTATATTAATGGTGGTTAAATAATTTAAATGTTTTCATATTGTATTGTGACGTCCTATTACATCAACGTAGTGCACAAAAATATCATATGTACATATTAATATTAAAAAAAAAATATTTAAACTAATAAAATTTTTATATTTTTAGCTGATTCATTTTAAGATAATAAATACACAATTATACATTGATATATGTATGTAAAATTATTAAGATAATTATAAAATTAAAATAATGAAATTGAATTACAGATAAGTGCTTTGTGTTTCAATAAATATTTTACCAATTATAACAAAAATACAAAAGTTCATATACTGCGAGGACATTAATTGCTCAGGAAGTAAAAATATTTGATAATTTATTTGACAAAAATGAATATTATGTTTAAGTGTTTTAAAATTAAAATATTTTTTAGTAAAATATTCAAATAAAATTTTTAGTAATGAGAATTTTTAGTAATTCAAATTGATAACTTGAAAAAGTGTTAACTTCTAAATAATTGAAAATTTACTTTTATTATTAAATTGTTTGAGTATTGTTGCAATAAAATTTGTCCTTTACTCCTTAGTATTCAAATTAAATATTTTTATAAAACATATTTACATAAAACAAATCATTTCTTAAATGAAAAGGCTTTCTTTTGAAGTTCTAAATTTACCAAAGTCGAATAATTGAACATAAGTTTTTTCATTACATTTGCCAAAACAGTAATTAAAATTGATGATTATATATAAAATATCAAGACAGTATATGAGCACTCTAATTGTTATATATTATTATTTAGAAGCTTTTGCTATTACAAATATAGTTATTTTAAATAATTTTTTTGCTAAACTTTAAAGTGCTTTTAACTATGAAACTAATAATTATGCATCGGTAAATTATCAAATGTAAAAATAAAGAATAATACTAAATGCAGTATAATTTAATATATTTATGTGTAATATAATGGTTCATCAAGGGATTTGTTTTCAAATTCATTTCGGGACTGTAATCTTGTGGGTCTGCATGTGAGAATTAAATAAAAATTATATTTTTTTTAAAAATTGTAGCACCATGAGATTCAGCTCTGATGTGAATTAATTATTGCACACATTAAAAAAAAACATTTTTTTTTCTGAAATATTGTAAAAAAAAAAATAATTTTAATACACTATTTTAATATATTACCGTTTCATTATATATTTCATGTGTATTGTGATATAAAACAATGTATTTTAAATAAAAAATTCTAATTAATATTACAAAAATATTTGATAAATGTGATTAACTTATAACATTTTTTTTTTATTTTTTTCTTGTAAATTTCAGATTTTGATGACTTATCACCGTTCTTATCTATTGAACCACCACTTGATGACCATTATAATTTCTCATTGGGACAAACTGAAGGAATATGTGACCTGTTTGATTTTGATCTGTAAAAACAACACTTTAACTAAAAAGAATGTTGTGCGACCAGGCACAATGTAAAAGTGCAGAAAATAAGCAATGAAACTGAGAAAAGGGAAATTCGCAATTTCATGTTTTGCATATTTAATTACTAATTTCACAAGAACACAATTCTTAATTCCATCAGCTGGTTTTTAAGTATATGACACATGAAAGAAACGAGGAACAAATTTTGATTTCTTTAAAAAATTAAAAATTTAAAATACGCTTAAGTAAAAACAAGAAAATTTAATTTTAAATATAAAGAAATTAAAATTTGTTTGTTTTTCTTTCTGTAATGGATTTAAATATTATACCATCCTAAAAGAATGCAATTTGGAGTGGTTATTGTAAGCTCAGATCAGTTTTTAATTGTTTGAGTACAATATTAAACACTGTGATAAAAACCAGCATATAAAAGGACCTTAATCGTCTTTTCTAAAATTTCTACATTTTTTCGAATTCCATCAATGATTATTTTTCAGAATTATATTATATGCAAAATCACATACACATATTAAATTTGTTAAACTTTATTAATTGAAATTATAAACATAAAAAAATAAAATTAAAATGAAGCAAGAAGGGGGAGGGTCATTGGGAGCTACAATTTTATTTTAAAATAAAATTTATACATATGATTTATATAAAATTTATATACGTATTTAAAAAAAAAACTCCTTAAACATAATTTATGTAATATATTAAATATACATAATATTATTTTATGGAAATGTTTTTTTTTTTTTAATTTTTATTGTAAAATTTATTTAAGAACATAGTCAAGTCATTAAAATATTTAATTAAATTAATTAATAATATTGAGAAATAATAATAATATTACAAACAAAAGAAATAATATATTACTGATTCAAAACAATTTAAATATATTTATATATATAAATATATAAACATATATAAAAAGAAGTAAAAATAAATTTAATTACAAAGAATTCAAAAGAAAAAAAAACAAAAGTCATAGTAAATTAGTTTTCTAAAAAAGAATATTTAACAAATTCTTTAACAAAAAAATATAAATAAATAAACTGAGTTAGAAGCCCAAATAATCGGAAAAATAAATTTTACAAGAGATCATTGAATAAAAATAATAAAAAATAGACTTAGAATTTAAATTAAAATCTTTTAATTATTTTAAAAAAAGAAAATTAAGACTTTTAAAAAATTAGCCTATTTTATAATAAGAAGCACACAGAGATATTAATTTCAGTTTGTTAATTTATTCATACTAATAACGTAATTGAATTAATGAAATATAATAATTACTGAATTTTAAAGGAAATTAATTAAAGTATTTAACATATTATAAATGTAATCTTTATTTCGAGCATTATTCCGATAAAACAAATAAGTAAAATTATTGTGATTTTCTGATTCATTTCTAGCTGGAAAATTTATTTTTATTATTATGATATCACGTGCTACAGCTTTTATTAAATTTAGCTACATATTTTGTTGATGTTAAAAAATATTAAATAATTTCATGAATTTCAGATATTATTGCCGAAACAAAAACTGTAAACTTTCAATTATAATTTGCACTTTATTACATTAAGTTGGATATTCAGAAATTATAATTTTTTTTTTTAATTACAACAAAAAACCAAAAATGTTACTACTTAAATTTTTTAATATATCGCATGAGGCCAGATTCATTGTCTGATATAGCTTATTATCAAAATAAATAAGATTTCAATTGAAATGGAAATGAATATCTCTGATAGAAACTAAAGTTAATATTTCAATAATTAATAGGCAAAAATTAATAGAAACTACATTAAAATAATGTGTAACAAGTAAACGTACAAAAAGAAAATAAGTAAAATGTAAAGTAATATACTAACAGTCTAAAAAATTATAACAGTTAAAAAATTATATCTCTTTTGTATTTTTTTTCTTTTTTTTTTAATTATAAACATGATTTAGTGGAATAGTATTTAAAAAAAAAAAAAAAATCTGAAAAATAATCCGTGTCAATAATTTGTAGGTAAAATAAATTTTTTTTTATTAAAACTAAAATAATATGTAGCAAAAAAAAATTGAGGGGAAACTTAAAAATTTAAAATTTAAATATTTTTTTTTGTAAATATAGTTTATTAATATTAATGCCTTGATAGTAAACATTTTCGTAAATATAACTAACCTTCAATATGATGGAGTTATTGGGTTTGAATGGGTTTCAACACCAGAGCCAATAAAACATATGGACTGGCTTTTATTAGAAAATATATCAATATATATATAAATATGCCCGAAATTGCTCGAAATTGTTATGTTAACATTGCTTCAAATTCAATAAAATTTAGAAATTATAGTTATTTTTGGAGGCCTAGGCTCGACAGGTTTTTTAACTTTATCGGGCCAATAAAAAAGTAATTTAAATATTTAAAACTAAATTAGAAATCAATTCAATATTTCAATAGTTTTCTTCTTCACCTTTTTTAAATTGATTTCAAATCAAAAGTTTGTTCTTTATTGTAAATATGTAACAAAAATTTAATTAAATTTTTTATTATTTGTTCCTTTTATATGTAAATTATTATATTAAATATATGATTAAGTTAATTCACTTTTTTAAGGAATTCTATGTTTAAATATCTATGTCTTTTGGATTAGTATTTTCAGAAGTTGAATATTTATTTGTAAAAAAAAAATAAATAAAATTAAGTCAATTATTTTTGTAACATCTAGTCTTTGTTTGGAATCAAAATTATATAATTTTATTTTAGATTTTAGTATAACTATAAACAAATTAATAAAATTTTCAGTTATATGTAGAAATTTCTCAAAATCAGTTAATGCTCTTGTCATAGTAAAAAAAATTATAAATCTTTTAAGTTAGATATGCAATTTTATGGATGAGGACTAATCTTTCTGTCAAAATTTTTAGTAAGAAAATTTATTATGTAATCATGTTATACATAATTTGTATAAGCCGTGTTATATAATTATAAAAAATTTTCTTAAAATTATCATTTCAAAAATTGCTGTATTAAATTTTCCTTTCTTTAAATCAATAATCGATTATAAACATTCTTTTCTATTTTATTAAAATAATTTAATTCTTTAAATAAAATAAAAATATATTTTTAGCATAAAAAATATTATACATTAATTAAATGTTGGCATGCTGTAAAAAAATAAAATAAAGCAAAAAAAAATTTTTAAGTGTTCGTTTTGTCCTTTTCCTAATTTAATATGCATTTAAGTATATTTTCTTCATCGGCTTCTGAATTTACTCTACAAAGTTTTTACAAATTCCGAACTAGATATTGTTATAGAACTCTTCCCTTTTAAATTCAAGCTTAAAACTCATTCATTCGCTAAAATAATTCGAAATTTAAATTGTTACCTTAGTACTATATTAAATAATATCAAAAGAACATACATATAAAGAAGTGTTAATTTATTAAATTTCACAATTATAATAAGGTTTAAACAATAAAAAATTATTTAAATCCTGATACACCTTCTTGTCTTTTTCCCCGTAAGACTTCGTTACCTATTTTTTCTATTTCGATTTTTATAGAGATTTTAGTTAAACGTGAAATATTTTTTTTTTCATTTAATTTTTTTTTTGTTTTTTTTTCATTAAAGTTATTATTCATCTCAACGCTTAAAAAATAAAATATAAATTAAAACAATAATAACCAATGTAAAATATATATTTTCTAATATGTAAAATAGAAATAATGAAAATGAAAATCAATATAAATAACATAAAAATAATATCTTAGTGTGTAAGAAGACAAAGATGATAAATATGCTTATAAAGTAAAAAATAAAAACAAAAATAAAAAAAAAATTGACAAATTTGGGGCGTCCATAAATTGAATAATAATAAAATAAAGGAGTATCATTTTATACATAAAAATCTATAATATCAAACAAATATATTTTAATATATTGTAATTAAATTTGAATTACTGGAAAACAAGAAATCATTATCATCTGAAGAAAATAATTAAAGAATAAATTTATCAAATGTTCAGCTGAATCTTGTAATATTTCAATATTTCTAATTGATAAAACAAGATAAAAAATTAAGTAAATACGAATTGAATTTTTTTAACTAAGCAATTTGATTTTTGATTATGAATTGTTTTGTTTCTGCCATAAATGAGAAAATCTTTGTATCGAATTAAATATTTAGTTAATAAATACAAAATTTAGTATCTAATAAAAAACAATAAATCGTTTAAGCAATTTAAATAGAATAGCAGAATTTAAATAGAATTATCAAATAATTTAACTTGATTTTTATTTAGTAAAAATGCTACAATTCCAAGTTTCTATTGGAAAAATTAAAATAAAAAATATTCTCGTAATTTTTGAACTGTGAATTGTACTAAAATACCAAATATTTAATTTGGACAACCCATTACATATTTCTTATTACATAACGTTAATTATTAATCTATTTTATTTGACTATTTGAAATTATATTAATATTTTATTTGACTATTTGAAAATATATTATATACATAAATAATAATTATTAGTTATCACATAGACGAATTTCTTTTATGGAAATTAAAATTTTATGACGAAGCTTACTCTGCTGAAAACTATTAAAATTCAATAATATTACTAACTGGTTTAGTAATTCTGGACAAAATTTTTGTTTGAAAAATTAAAATAAAAATCCAAAACTTAATTAAATTTTATTTAACTTTTATTTTTTAACATAATTATGTTTTCCTATCTTGTTTACGGCTTTTGGAAACAACCTAATTAAAATCAAATTGAGGAAAAAATAAAATAAACATAAATAAGAATAAATAAGAAATAATTAAAAATAGAAAACAAAAAAATTTATGGATGGTTTCATATGTGAATATATTTTCTAAATAAACAAAAAGAAAAAAATTGTTATAGAATTAAAAATAACAAATATGAAACAGAATCATTTAAGTAATTGAACATAAGTAAATCAATTCACAAAGAAAAATCCCTTATAATAGTAAAAAAAAAAAAAAACAAATGAAATAATTATTAGAAATAAAAAACGATTTAACAAATATTGTTTTCTTTTTTATTGTATTTTTTACAATTCATATATGTAGAAATATAAACATATATATTTTAAATTAATATATTAACTATATAAACATTATATATAAAATTATAATAAATTTTAAGTTTATTATTATTGCTATTATTAAAATAAAAGAGTTTTTCTTTTTCTTTTTTGTTTGTTAGTTATCTTTAAAGAATAATTAAACTAAATTTAAAATTATATAAATATATTTATATAAAACATTATATACTTATGAATGAAATAAAAATATAGAAAAATAAAAAATTTTACGAAATGATAATTATTATAATATAACTTTTTTTCCTTCTTAATTTTTTTTTTTAGAGAACAAGACAAGTTTTAGAGTTTAATGTCAAATTAATTTTTTATTTTTAATATAATTGAGATGTACCCCAAGAAAAACGAAATTCTGTGTGGTGTCTGAAATGTAAATTATTCAAATAAAAGAAGAAAACATTTGTTTGCAGCATCTTGCTAACTTAACAAATTTTAAAAAATGCAAACTTGAGAATCACAACAGTTCCGTTTTCAAAATTTGAAGTTTTCAAGAGAATTTAAATAACTTGTGAATGTGTATATTCTTATTGAATATATTATTATATATCTATGAATTTTCCCTTAAATAAGTGGCGTCTCATCACTTGAGAAAAGGTAAGTGAAATTAATTGCAACATTATAGATCCATTACCAAAGAATTGGTTATTTAAGCAGAAAATAAACTGGATAAAAAAACTAGGCAGTGATATATCATAAATAGACATATTTATTAATTTAAGAAACAAAAAAAAAAACAAAGAAATATAATGAGAAAAAAATTTAAAATAAGTGTTATTAAACAATTAAAAAAAAAATAATTATGTTTCCCAAAACATTAAAAATCAAGCGTACAATGTTGCAAATTTTTTAACACTATATTTGCTTGTATATTTGAACCACACATCCGACAGAGATTTATTTAAATAAAAGCCCAATATCAACTCTATATTTACATAAAAGAAAATCATTACCTGCTTGTTAATTTAAAATCCATTTATGATAAGTAGACTCTTAATAATATATTTTTTCAAAAAGATTTAATTATGTACCACTTAAATGGTATTTGTTTTCATTTGTATAATTAGAAAATCTTTTATAAAAACCTTGAATATTTGTATCGGAATAATATACTTAACCTTTTGACCTTTTTTATTCAATAACACACGCAAAAAAAATGAATTTTTCTGCATTTAAAAATTTTTTGCATACAATACTTATGTATTTTATAATTTTATTTATAATTAAATCTTATGTACACATACATATAGAATATATAAATATAAAGGCATAAAAAACAAAAGCAATTGTAAATGAATTTTCTTTCCTTGATTATTTTTATTAAGTATGTATAACACAAATAAAAAAAAGTTCTTCAAAACCCAAACAATCACCTGTTGCTTTTATCACGGATACATAGTTACCCCAAGTAAATATATATTCATATCTATATATATGTATAAAAGTACATAATAAACGTTTCCAATAAATAAAATATTAAAGATTTTTAACTTATTTTCATACACCTGTATTATTATTTATAGATTTCTTATAACTTTTCAAAATTATAAAATCATAACAATTTTTTACTTGGAAAGGATTTGTATTTAATGGCTTATTGGTAGTAAATGTAACGTATAAGAAACAATATGAAATTGTGCAGTATAATGTTAATCCATATTAAATATAACAGCTTATCATAATCAACAAAATTGATTTAAATTCAAACTTATTATTTTTGAAAAAGCATGTATGAAAATCATCTGTGGAATAAGAATAAATTTGATAGAATGAACTATTTTGGTCAAACAACATCATTTAATAGAATGGTTAACATTTTAAACTCGTAGATACTCTGTTACAAGTTAATATGAAAGCTTGTAAATATTTTAGGACCAGGAAATTTTTGATCTAAACTAGTTTGAGTATCAAAAACATTACCGTCTCACATTACTTTCAATGTGATAAATTTGAAAAAGAAGACCGAAAAATTTTATATTCGTAATAAGTTTTTCTGATTGATTTCAAATTAAATTTAGCTAGCGTCTAAGGAATCAATTAATGGATTAGAAAATTTTTAATTTTGTTATCTGTTTAAATTATTCTAAGTTTTAGAAACAGGAAATTTTGAATATAAAGTTTCTATATTTAACAAAGTTCTATTCAAATACAAACATATTTCAAATTCTTAAGTTAAAGCTTTAGAAAATATTTACAAACAAAAGTGAATTGCATGCGAAACATAAGATTCATAATATATTTACTACAGTCTGATTCTAGTTCGTATAGTAATATTAGTACTCATTTTAGTTTTATTTCATAAAGTAACTTAATCAATAACCATAACTATTCATAACTCTATGAATGCATAGTCTCTAAGTATAATTTTTCATTATGTTGTCTATATTTGTATAAAATATCCAAAACAGCAGAAAACAACAATAACCATAAATATTTTTTTACAGAAATAAGAATAAGTAAAGTAAAAAAACGAAATTTTTTTGATATAATGTAATTTGTTGTTCAGTTATAATCGATCAAACAAAATCATGCTATTTAGAAAAATATCCTATCAACAACATTTACCTAAAGCTCTTCTGAATTTGCAAATATATAAATTTATTATTTTGAATTAAAGAATCAGTTTATTTCTGTTATCGACAATGTAAAGTTCAGATTTTGTTATTTTTCTTAATACTTATAAAAATTTTCAAAAGGGCTCCAAGTGAGCTCTTTAATACAAAAAAAAAACAAAAACTATAAAAAATGGATGATCGTACAATTGATTTAATTTTTATGGGCTCTTTAGAGTCCCTACCACCGGTTAGCTCAAAAATTGTTCGTATTTTTACATCATCTACCTTTACAGGTATTAAAAAATTTATTTTTAAAATATCTCATAATTGAATTATGTAACAGATTACATAAAAAACCAAATTTTTGTTTTTCTAATTAATTAGATACGACAATGGAAAGAAATACTTTAATGGCTAAATGTTATCCACGAATTAAGGATTATTGTCGTGAAAAACATGGTCTCGAATTTCAAGTAAGTGTAATATCTAAATAAAAAGAGATTACATCAAAATTTTTAATCGATTTTTCCGACAAAAAAGTATTACTGAAACGAATGTAATAAAATTAGTTAATGTATAAAAATAGTGTTGTTTTTTGTAAAAACTGTTATATGTTATATAACAGCTGGTTTAACTGAATAACCGAAATATTTTTGTTTATTTTTCAAAAAATTTGTGTATTTTCTTTTTATTTAATTTTAATTAAATTATTTAATTAAAAATGCAATTATTTTTTTTTACAAATTATATTCGAAGTTTGCATTTTTATAAATAAGAAATTAATGAATCAAATTTATATAAATATTAATATTAATATTTTTATTAAATGTAATTTAATTATTTTCAACATTTTTATTAAATTTGTTAATACCGGTAGTTTCATTATTGTTAATAACATTGGCGGTAATTTTTTTATTTCTGAAAAAAAAAGTTCGTATAAATTTTTTGTTGGCATAATTACAAAAGTGTTGCATCTTATTAAATAAGATTAATTTCAAAAAAATTTAATTGAATTTATATATCACATAAAATATTTTTAATTCAAATTATTAAAAATCAAAATATTTTGCATTATTATAGTAAAATACTATTTACTAATAAATTGAATGAAAAGGATGGAATTTTGAAAAAAAAAATTTTACAGTGATAACTGATGTTTGAGAATGATATCTGAAATTTTAAACACATGAATAATTCGACAAAATTTAAGGCAATCTTATTACGAATACTGTTATATTTTTAAAATAAAAAAAAACTATCCAAAAAAATAAGTGTAGAAAGTACATAAGCCTTGTAAACTTTTCTATGTCTTTTTGGATTGTTTTGGTATTTTTATAGGGATAGAGGAGTTTACAAAAACGTTAATATATGAGTTGCGGTAGAGTACTTTACTTCTTAAATACCAAAACAGTCTATATCATCCAATAAACAAATAAAAGGTTTCAATACTGTCCTTCTTATCTGGTAATTAAGAAAAAACATTTTTAGAAATAAAAATTCACTTACTCCATTCAATAAACTGCAAAATATTTATATTTTCATTAAAAATCTGTTTAGACGAAATCAAGATTCAGAAGTGTAGAGACAGACCCAAATCTTAAAAAATGTTTTATTATGAAATTTTATATTTGAAATTTGGTGTGATCTTGTTGCATGCACTTTGAATCTGTAAAAGCCCTAAAATTTATAAAATATTTTTAAATTAAAAAAAATTTGAATATATAAAATTCAAGAGAGACAAGTATATTTTAAGTAAATTCTTGGACCGCAGTATAAGTTCGTATATAAAGTCGCATAAGAAATTTTTTGTTTTCTTTTACTGCAAAAAGAATTAGCAATGCTAGTGGCGATTAAAACCTGCTAAATTTGTGATTTTTCATTTAATTGGCATAATATTTTTCACTCATTAATGACATCATAGTTACATTAGTTTATGACGTTACTTTATGAGTCATCATCTAATAATAACTAATTGTCAAAGAAAAATTTCTTTAAAACACTATATTATTAGCTTCTAAAAATTTTTGTAGTACTTTTTTAATTATTACCATTTTATTAATGGGGGTAATGGTGATTAAAGATAGGAGCGTGGGGAGGCTACAATAAGTCAAGAATGGCTGCGGTGGCTTGGGGGTTACTCCTGTCCCACTCGGTTCTCTTGAAATCTGCAATCTATAATCTACCATTTTATTAAGTAAAGTTACTCTCAATGTTTAATTTACCCTCTGGTATATATACACAATTAACATAATAATTACCCATACGGTATTTCACATAGATTATTATTTGTTTATACAAGTAAAATATACTTAAAAATTTTTCTATTTCAAAAAAAGAAAAAGTTTTTTCGTCATGTAATAATATAAATTTACTCTAAATTCTAGCACTATGATAACATGACACAAACAGTTTAAAAAAAACTAAAATATTTTCTGTTAATTTTTTTTTTTTCCTTTCATCCTTTCTATATTCCTAAATAAAACAGAAACGATAAGAAAAATAATTTTATGACAACAGACTTTCAAGAAAAAAATGTGGTATCCTTTTTAGCAATATAAAGTTCTTATAATATACAAATACAATAATTGTAGGAACAGTAAAAAAGAAAAAGTCATTATATTTTTATATAAAACAAATCACCTAAGATATTTCATGTTGATGACACTAAATACAAGTACATTTAGTGTTTACATATCTTCGATTTTTTTTCCGTTTGATATAAAATCAAAATTATCAGAGAATACGGAATCGAAAATAAAAACCAAAATTAATTTCGCGGCGACCTAAATTTAATCCTTTATATTTTGGTATTCATGTCGTGATGCATTTATGTTTTAATGCTTACTTTGAAAAAAAAAAATATAAACAAAATTAAATATACAGGATGTATAGAAATTATTGGAAAAGGAGCATTTCATTAAAATATTAAAGTTATAAGTTTTCCGTCTTAAGAACTTTCTTATAAGGTGAAATATGAAGTTTTTTTTTTTAGGTGAAGAATAATAAAAAGAAAACAAAATGATAAATAAAGGATTTTTCTTTTGAATACTTTATATTTTATGGTAATTTTTAGGTTGATAAAATTTTCGTAATTTATTTAAAAAAGAAAAAAAACTTTTCATAACATATAAAAAAAAAAGAAAAACAAATAATAAATCAAAATTATCATTTGCATATAAGAAAAAACTTATTAGATATTTTATACATAGAAATGGTGTCATAGAATTATCACGATATCTTCATGCAATACAACACAACTATTATTTTGATAGTAAACATAATTGACTTCGTACATATTCATATATATATATGTATATATATATATATTTGAATAATATTGTGAGGGTTGCCATATTGTATTTATGGCACGAGATATTATTTGAATTTTATCGGTTAACAGTAAGTTTTGTTTTAATTAAATGAAATTGAATAAAATATTTTACAAAAATAGTTTCTCTTGCTCCATTATTAAATTAAAAAAATTACAAACTAAATTCAATTGATAAATTCAATGAATAAATGAAAAATTATTAGATATAATTTCTGAAGAATTAAGAAAACTCAAGATTCTACAGGCGCATAAGCGTGACCAATTATTTATAAATGATTTGAAAAATATTTAATTTTTAAAATCATTTATACATAATTTTTAATTCACTTCGATAATTCAGACATGCACTTAATGTTCTAACTCAAAATTTTTTTTTTGTATCAATTCGAATTAACAGGAAGCAGTTACTTGTACTTTTCCAGATTTCTAATAACTTTCATTCTTCTATTTGATTTTTTCAAACCTCAAATATTTTTGCAGTATTTAAAAAAAAAAAAAATTTAAAAATGCTTTAGAAATTTTAGTATGAAACGATTTTCGAACATGCTTCTTTCGTAATAAAAATTTATCAAATGTTAATTTTTAATAAAATCTAAGTTAAAACAGAACTTTTCGAAATTAGTATATTTTAGCATTTGTAATTTAAAACGAGAAAAAAAGTAGAGTTGACCTTGTCAACTCTGTGATACCCGTACGAATTTGTTATCCTATGTGCGAATAACTAATGTGCCATAACTAACTAGGGGGCAGACTATGACTTTAAGTTGCCGTATTACCATATTAATTTATGCAAAATTTCAGTACTATGTTTTTCAAAATACTGGTTGTGCCAAACTACTATTGAAGTTGTATGGCAGCTACCAGAAAGAGCCAAGAAATTTTAGCAAATTTTATCAAGCACATCGGCCCTACTAATATATTCACTAGTGTGAAATCTCAATATCACAGCTTTTATAGTTTCTGAGATATAGCCAAATAACTTTTGAAGTTGTATGGCAGGTACCAGAAGGAGCCAAGTAATTTCAACGACTTTTATGAGACACATTGGCCCTACCAATATATTCGTTTGTGTGAAATTTCAATACCATAGCTTTAATAGTTTCTGAAATATAGTTAAATAACTTTTGAAGTTGTATGGCAGGTACCAGAAGGAGCCAAGTAATTTCAACGACTTTTATGAGACACATTGGCCCTATCAATATATTCGTTTGTGTGAAATTTCAATACCACAACTTTTATAGTTTCTGAGATATAGCCAAATAAATTTTGAAGTTGTATGGCAGCTACCCGAACCGGTACCTCGATCATGTCCAATTTAAATAGGGTTCTGGCACTTACTACCATAAATCATTTGTGAAAATTTGGTGAACTTAGCTCAATTAGTTTTTGAGTTATCGTTCGGACGGACGGACGGACGGACGGACAGACAAAGCTAAATCAACTCAGAATTTGACGCTGATCAAAAACATACACTTGAGTCTATATCTAACACCGTTATTTCTTAGCGTTACAAACGGTAAGGCAAATTTAGTATACCCTTCGAACATACGTTCGTACGGGTATAATGATATTAGTCTTCAGCAGATAGTTATATGTATGTCTAATTTACAGTTTATTAAATATTAATTAAATTTTAATCCATATTTTTAAAAATTATTTACTATTCACTACTATTTTTAAATTAAATTTTGCTAAAAATTTTTAAATTAAATTAAAATTGATAATTGAATTTTTTCACTTTAATATAATATTTTATGCATAATATAATTTCCAGTATGATAAAGAGATTTTAATAAAAAATATTTTGTAACAAGTTGGTAACCCAATAGCTTTACGTTATTTATTAAAATTTTCATCAAAAGAAATTTTTAATCCAGAGAACATATGACAATACATTAGCATCATACACACATGTATGTATGTATGTATGTATGATGCAAATCAAATGTTAATTTTACAAATTCATTAAATATAACATGCTATAGAATAATAAAATTTTGTATACAAATTTTATAGCCATTTTCAGTATAATAAAATTAAAAATAAAAAATTTATTGTAAATACCTGTACTATTAACTCCCACGATTTATTTTACAAAAAAAAAAAAAGAATATTATTAAATGCCGCATAAGAAAACGTCATAATAAATAAATTCATAAATTTAATTTTTTTCCGAAAAAATAGCGAGCAACCGAACAATAATTCATTAAGTAAAAACCTCAACAATAAAATAAAATATGTACATACGTGTTATATGTGTATATGTTATAGGTATATATGATATATTTCAATTATTACCGTTATGATTACATTTACTGTTATTTTTTATTATATAATAGTAATATAACACATCATAAGAGGACTTGATTGGTATAAAGTTTTTGTGTTCTCTTTTTTTTTTATGATAACCAAAAAAAAAATAATTGTTATATTTATAAAAAAAATTGTTGTTATTTCAATTTTTGAATCTAAAAATTTCTGACATATTAATAATTAAAAATGAAAAAGTTTAATAATTGAAATGCATGCATGCTTATTTGTTCTTTTACATAATAATTATTATGTAAATTTTGTTTATATTTGCATAATAATTGTAAGATTTGAGGAAATTCATATAACTATCTTGCTCGCAAATCTTATAATTGAATTTAAGAAGAGTTAAACCAAAACATAATGATATTTATGTATAAAGTATTTCATTTTTTTTATCTGGGTTGTTAATAAATTTATTATTATATTTAATTCAAATTAATGAGGGCAATATTAAATTAAATAAAACTTTTTTTTATAAATATTAAAAATTTTTTATTCTAAAATATCATTTGCAGAATAATATGGAAAATAGGATAATAATTAAGCTCATTTCTTTCATACTGCCATTACTTACATTTGTTAACGTATAAATTTTGTTAAATAAATTCATATGAAAAGTTTTTAAACTAAATGGTTTTATTCGAAAATAAATATATTTTATAGGATTTTTATGGTTCGGGAAACGAATGATGTACACAAAGCGAATAACTTACTCGAATATTCACCAAAATGATATTATGGTTCAGGAATAATTAATGGAAATGCGATTTCTGAAGAATTACATTTGAAGTTATTAAAAATGTAATCGAACCGCTCTTCGCATTACTTCAGATTGGACCGTGCTGCTCTCCTTCATGATAAAACCTATCTTCCTTTTTAATTCTCCTCTTTTTAATTTCTACGCATCCTAAATTATGCTGCTTCTATCTTGTCTGCTTCCTCCAGATATTTCAACCTCTTCTTCTTGCGTAACAACATTTCTATGTATTTCACTACTACGACCCAATTATCCTCGCTCTCTAGCATTCGTCCCATGATGTTCTCTGGAGTCATTATTCCGATGGCCGCTTCTAAGCCTCAACGTTCAGTTTCTGCAATACTGCATTCGAAAAAAGTGTGGAAGACAGTATCTTCCGCTCCGCCGCAGTGACTGCATTCAGGACTCCTCAACCTCCCCATCCTGTGTAGGTAGGCCCTAAAATATTCATGACCCGACAAAAACTACGTGATGTAAAAGTTATAATAGTAAATACATTTTTTAAAAATTTAATGTTTAATTATATTTTAACATTTTTAATCAAGTGCCAGTTTATCCTATTGAGATGAGTAAACTAGTAATAGTAATGAAGGCGAGTAAAATGTTGAATATTGGAAGGATATATGAGAGATCAATTAAATTAATATATTTCTGTTGAGTGCGAGTTTAATTCCACAATGAACTACATCCGGATTTTATCCAGTTTTACTCACTAATTTTGCAAATTGTCCCCGATTTATTTTTTATTAATTAAGGTTGTGATTTACTATATTCTACACAAACGTTACTTCTATTTTAAGATTAAGAAAAAAATAGGATAAAAATATATTTAATTACAGTAAAGTATGTATGTATTAAAAATTACTCCAACGTTAGTCACATACAATTTCCATTCACCTAGTTTTTGACATTTCTCTCAAAATAATTTCATTCGCTTCGTTAACCTTAATATCATTTAGGCGAATTCAGGAACAATGATCGACCCATCGAAAACCATAATAACCCTTAAAATATTTTATCATTTTAAAAATTAAATAAAAAAAGTTCTATCAAACTATTGAAATTAGTTTCTATAAGGAATGGAGTGAAAGAAAAGGAAAGAAAACAGATTTGATTACATTGAAATTCTATTTTAAGAAATGTTTTTTTTTATTAGAAAGAAAATTAGCAAAAATCAAAATAATTCTAATCAATAAATTTATCAAGGACTAATTTTTTAATGTTCTGTTTTTTTTTTACATATACAACTCTTACGTTTATTTGTCGATTATATTCTAAAAGACATTTTGATTCAAATTAGATTTTTATTATTTATCTATATATAGTCACTTTATTTAGAAAATTTATTGAAGGCTGACTAAATTATTAAATTATTATTAGAATTAGTGTAGGTGAAAAATAGAAAAATGATAAGAAAGTAAAAAAACAAATTAAAAAAAAAATTAATAAATTCTTCTGTCATTCACACTAAATATTTTATGTTGTACTTGAAACGTGAAAAATCAACCTTGAAATTTTTTAACTCTTGTAAAAAAAAAGAACCTTGAATCTAACTTTATAATTTATTCTATACTCGTTTTTTACACAAACTTGTACAGGTAGTTGCAAGTTGCTATAATACATAATAATTGGAAGCAAATCCTATATTACGTTAAATCTCATATACTATTACAGATAGTTTTAAAATTTATTGTAATATAAAATTGTATCAAAATTATTTTTCATGCTAGTTAAAGTGATATACAAGTAATAAGCACTGAATTTTAATGAGAATTGCGAGTGGTTACATATTCCCTCAAAGTTCAACTAAACTACATAAATATTCACTTATTTTATATAATATATATATATATATATTTCTAAAAAGGTATTAAATTCAAAAATCTCTATGAATTTTTTTTATTGGTTATACTTAACCCTATATATATATACATATTAAATTATATTTTAATGTTTCCTACTCAATATACCAAAACTTATTGCGGAAATTAAAAAAATTCTAAAGTTCTGTTTAAAATAATTTTTTTACTCTAAAAATAATAATTTTAGTAACAATAGACCTGAAAAGAAGTTCAAAATTATTTTATTATAATAGTTTAGAAATTTATATATTATTTTATCAATTTAATTTTAAAAATTTGAAAAAACTACCACTTTATTGAACTATAAACAAATAAAATTTATACAACGCTAAGAATTGGTTGCCCTCAAATGTATGCAATATTAAATGGAATTTATACAATTTTTCAATTATGAAAATTTACATACAATTATTATTTAAAAGAAATTTAATTACTCAAAATTAATAATAATTATTTTATTTAAATAAAAACAATAGGTAGTCGATATGAGATGGGGTGTACGTGATGAAGCAACTGATGATCATATGACAACAGAATTATGTATGCGTGAAATTGCAAATTGTCAACGTTTATCTATGGGACCGAATTTTGTTGTTTTTCTTGGTCAAAAATATGGATATCGTCCGATTCCAACTTATATTTTATCATCAGAATTACAAATGATGAGGTATAAATAATAATTAATTTAAATTATAATATTTATATTAAATTATTTTCGTATATGAAAAATTAAAAAAGGGATGAATTGACTGCAATGGGAGTTGATGGTGCTGCATTAGATTTATGGTATAAAAAAGATAACAATGCTGTACCACCAATATCAGTTTTACAACCAATTTCATCAATATTAGTGAATTTTAATAATAAGGTATATTTTTATTTGTATTAACAAATAAATTTGATATTAGTTTAATTAAAAAATTTTTGAATAATTTTGTTTTAATAAAAAATAGCGTGTACCGAAATTACAAGCAGAAGATCAAGCCATATGGTGGGATACATTAACAAAAATGCAAAAATTACTTAGAAAAGCAGCACAATCTTTATTTAATTCCGGAAAATTTGATAAAGATACAATGCACAATTATTTTATGTCAGGTAATATTAAGCAAAGAACAAAAAATAACAGTAATTTTTCATTTTCTTTGTGAAAATTTCTATAGTTTCAGTATATAATAATATCCAGGATTAAAACAGTTTGTTTGTGTGTGTTTCGTGTTTTGTGTTTTCCTACTATAACTTATTTTATTAAATTTTCAAATCAAAAATATAATTTTAAATTATTTCTTTCAGATTAATAAAAAAATTTAAACTTTTATAATTTTTTCTGTAATACGTGCATAATTTTTAATTAATATAATAAATACATATATAAGTATAAAAAAGTATAAATTTAATATATATATATATATATATATACATATAGATTTAATTATATTATAGTTACGGAACGTGAAGTCATCAATGGAATTTTAAGTGTTAAAAATACAAAAAATCATTGCCTGGCATACGTTCGATATATAAATAATATTAATTTACAAAATCTAAAAAAAGCTTCATTATTTGTTGATATTATTAATCGAAGTTTGGATACTGAATCATCAAAATTATTGGCAAACTTAAGAGATGAACGTTTGCCAGCAAAAATTGAATCAACAAATATGCAAAAGTAATTCTATATGTTTTTTGTCATATTTCAAAATCATAAATGCATATTTTCGAAATTAAAAAAAAAAAAAAAAACAAATATTCTACCATTATTTTTCAAAAAAAAAAAAAAAAAATTCATACCTTTTTTTCATTTCGTTTTCTTTCAAAATTAAAAATTTCAAAAAAAAATATTGTAAATAACAATTTCAAAAATAATTTTTTTTCCATTTTTTTTTTACTTGTAAATAATTATTAATTACATGCATACATAATTATTTCATACTTCATTATAAAAACAAAAAAAAAACACAGGGTGATTTAAAGATTTTCAATTTTTAATAAACTATTTTAATATAGTTTTAGAGAGCTTAGCCGAGAAGATAAAGACGTTAATTGTTTTAGAATATTTTCAGCTGATTTTTTCATTATCTCAACATTATTGTTTGAATTAAAAATACATGTTTATTTAAAATAAATTACAAGACTTTCGCAACACTAAAGGTACAATTCTTATTTTCCTTTTGTAGTATTATTAAAGCTAGTTTTATTTTAAAACACTTCAAGTAACTAATACTACTCGTATGCTCCTAATATTTCAGAATTTTATGGGTTTCTATAAATGTATCTACTGCCTCTTATCTTATTTATTCATCAATTTTATTTGAACGTCTAATATTTCAATATTAAACAATTATTGATAAGTTTTGCTGAAAAACTCTACTTGATTCTTTTATAGATTAGTGTATATAATTAAAATTTTCAAGTACAAATATATCTATTTGGATAAATTGCACTTGTTTCACTTCTCTTGGAAGCAAATACAATGTTAATATAATTTTTTAACTCAAGGTAACTATTTATTCATGTGACTTCGGGTTTATAACAATATTGAAACAAGTGAATTCAATTCTTATATTAATTACCATTATGTGTTATTGCTCTTAACGAAATATTCAAATATTTTCGAAAATATTAAATTTAAAATTGCAATTAAATATACATTAAAAAGCTCAAAATTCACTTAAATAAGCTACCTCTATTATATCTTGCAGTTTATGAATGTTTCCTTAAGGAAGTGAAAAAACTAACTAAATCTTTACTAACTATGTCCACTTAGAAGTTATTTCAATTATATGCTAGTTATATATTTGATTTTTGAAAACTAATTTTATTATTTTATTAAGGGTTTTTTTTTTTTAAATCTCAGTTATTCGAATATATTTATTGTCATTTGATTTATTTTCCTGTAATCATAATCGAATTTCATTAATCTCAAAAATTCACTCATTCTGGAATTCATTTTGATATTGGAATTAACATTATCCTTCATTAACAAGAAAAATTTAAAGTATTTGCATCGAGAATTCCATTTTTGAGAAAATTTTAAATTTAATGTCTGTTGTAGCGAACAATAGACTTATCATAAATTTTATCTTTGTGATATAAATTGTTCGTTGTAGCGGACATAATACGTATATTCCCTCTATCGAGGTCCGATATAAATTTAGCAAATAATTAATTATTTTAATTAATTTCTTAAAAATTTTGCTTTGCAATATAAACATTTCAATTGCATGTTTTCATTTTTTTTAATTCTTAAATTTAAAAAAAAAAAAATTCTTTTCTAATTCGCATTTGCTCATATCGGCCATTCAGCTAATTGCGTTTCTTTTAACATTAAATAAATATTTCCTCTTAAAATATTATTTTTTTAAATTAAAGAAAAATATTCAAGCTTTTAAAATTACATTGATAATATCTTTTAATTTCTTTCAATTTCTTAAATTTTTAAATTATAAAATAATTAAATTAAATTTCCAAATATTTTTTTATAATCAAAAATTAATAATGAGGCTGTTCTCCAGTTTGTTAAAGATTTGACAATCATATTAATCACATCATTCGCATTATTTGCATTTGAAATTAAGCAATTTTCGAAAATTGAAATTTTAAAAATGATTTCAATAAAGCGAAAAATTTCAAAATAAGAATGTGTTCTTCGCCATTTATTTTATCACATATAAATTAAAAGCTTAGCTACATCTTTTTTGCAATTTATGACGCATACGTCATGTCGTATTGGAATTCATGACTAAAGTCTGTTGCACACATTTGATATACTGGAAAGTGGCCTAAATTCACGTATTTTAAGATTATAAATTAAGATTATAAATTACAAGTTGGAATGTAAAACAAATTATTTTTAACATCTTACATTTTAGAAAATAAATATTACCATTTTAAATAATAAATCTGGGATTGTATAAAATTCTTTTAAAAACTTATGATAGGGAAAATAATTTGTTGAATTTTGTTTAAATTTTCAAATTTGCTTATAAAAATTAATTACATATACATATAATCGTTGTTCTTACTATCTTATTACATTTAAAAAAATTATTTAAATCACTCTGTATTATATTTTTTATATAATTTAAATTATATATATACATATTATATGCAATGGAATTTTCTCAATTCGAAACCCAATTATGATAGTTTTGGGCCAGTAAATTTTATATTATTTTATAAATTAATAAATAAAATAAAATTAAGAAATTTCTATTGCCATGTATTTTGTGTTAAATTAAAGCATGTTATACTCATGCATGTACATAATAAATAATTATTTTAAAATAATTCCATTTTAATAAAAATCTTTTTTTTTTTCTTATAAATAACCTATTGCATGTGGTATGCCTTCAAAGTTTTTTTAATAATTTTTAATATTTAACTTTTCATATTTTATATATTTTTTTTTATTTGAATTTGTATTATAACTTTTATTATACATATGCACATATGTACATATGATTTCTTTATTTTTGGGAGTATTTATTAATTTCTATATAAATATACTTACTATATTAACTATAAAAGCAGTAACAATTTACAATATGTGGGTGTATTCATATACAAATCAAAGAAAAAAACTTCCTTATTTAAAGAAATAATCGAATAATTGCATAAAAAAAAATCATATTAGATGTGAATATATCCATATATGTACATATGTATATTAATTCAAAAAGAAAAAAATTATAATAAAAAACTTTTGAATGGTTTTACTGTAAATATTAAATAAATTTTTATCTAACAAAAAAAAATACAACTAGGTTTGTAGTTCATATTACAAAATTTTAAAAATTGAATAAAATCTAAAAAAAAATCAAATGAATACTACCTTTTTTAATTGAATATTTTCTAATTTCTTAATTACTTAATTCTAAATTCAATTAATTATTCAATGACTTTATTATTTTCCATTTTATATGTGAAAAGTTTTAGTGTTTTCTACATTGAATTAGTAAAATATTTTGAAAATAATCAATCTTCAATCAATATTGGTTTTAATCTTCTACCACACTGTTATATAAAGAAAAGTATATAAAAGTAAATTTCCTCAAGTTTTCCCATAACCTTACCATTATATCCTTTTTCCTTTCTTTTTTAGAAATGCCCGTTTATAATTGGAGAAAGGATTTTTATGCCAGCATTAATTATAAATAAAAATTAAAAAAAAAAATTATAAATTGAAACTAAATAATTAATAATTTAAAAAATTGTTTGTATATGACATTAATTTGAAAAATTATAAATTTGTTAATTCGTTTTCAAGAATTTTAATAATAAATTTTTGCATATATATGTAGATCCTGAAAATATAACTTCATAAATAATTTATGCAATATTATATTTAAGTTTATAAGTAAAATTGAGCACTCTTACAAACCGTCTACATTTAAATGCATTTCAATGCAATTATGTACAAAATAATATTTTGCGGGAAGATATTCTTATATAATTATTATTAATTTCTGAAAATTTCTTAAAAGTTAAAACTCAATTTTTGATAACTTCAAAATAACGTAGCAACAATAAAGGTTTTACAATTTCTATGTCACACGAACAAAATGTCTATTGAAACCACAATGAGTAACTTTTTCACGTTTACAAAGAAAGCAGAAAAATAAAACTCTCCTACAAGTTGTTGTTTTTTTACAATTTTTTACCAGAAAATTTTGTAGGAACGGAACATAAATTTATTGGAAAATAGAACAATTGTTTTAAGCATTGTCAATCATAATTTTATCGATATTTTAAATTGCAATCAAGTTCTTATTATTCATAATCAAATTCTATAAAATTATGAAAGCTTTAAATTTATTAACATATTTTACGTAGAACCAACACATAAAAATAAATAATATAATACAAGTGTTATAATATTAATTCTAAAATTACATGTTTTTATGCCAATGCTAATCACAAAAATGAGAGATTTTTAATCAATTGTGTTTTTGCAAAAAATATTAATGCATATACATATATTATACGTATATTACTACTCTTTTGTGTTATCATTGAAATTAATAAAAAAAACCAATTTTCAATTTAAAATTATAATACTCTCTATTAACGATACAGAGAATGCTGTCAAATATAACAATAAATTGTTATTACACGTAGTACAAGTGCGATACTCATAAATATGAATAACATATTTTTGCAAAACAGTGAATAAAATTTCAAATACACACAAATATGGTAATTGCAAACGTAATGCAATTATATACCTTGTAATGTAAAATGTTAAATTATTCACATAACTATAGATACCTTCGAACTTAAAGAATACTGCAAATATTTTTGTTACATTTTCGGATAAAAATTGAATTGAACAATTTAGAACAAAAGAATAAATTCATTTAAGCTTTTATTTTTAATTAAAAAACAAATTAATGTCATATTAATTATTAAAGGCATATTTTGTATATATTCCCTTCAGCTACTTTTATAGTCCCACACTGAAAAATCAAGTGTATTAACATAGGAATCCTTTATCCATTTATATATAATTGGAGAAAAATACTTTCAAAATTTTAAAGTAAAACGGGTCTTTTGGCAATTAATAATATTTTTTATATCGAAAGTTTTTTATACATTTTTTTTCCATAATTTTCATATTTTATATATTATGTGAAAAGTATTAATATATTATATACATATTATGTATTTAATATGTAATTTTATATACATAATGTAATGAAAAATTGGAAAATATAATGTGTATGATCGATCATAAAAATGCCCAAATTACAAAATAATTTTATTTCTTTACATAAAGACTATAAATCTAGTTAAAATAAAAATTATATTTAAAAATCGATTCAGCTGCATACTATTCGATTTCTAATTCACATATCAAAATAAATAATGAATCGAAGTCAATTTAGAAATTTTAAGAATTAAACATTTTTGATTAATTTTTGTATTTCACTTTGTATTTTGTATTTGTATATAATATACAAATATCTACATAAATTTCAGTTGTATATATAATTTCATTTAATATTTTCTTCTATTTGTTATTGCACTTTAAATGTTCAAAATTCACACAAAAATTTTATTAACTCTTTAATTCTTGGCATTGTGATACTAATTTTGCTTTTCTATTTTTTTATTTATATATTTAATAAATATTTTATTAATATGTATATTTTTTAAAATTACATATTATTATATGTAAAGCTTAAATTATTATTAATTATATTTTAATATTAATTATTCATTTTATATTGTTTATATTTTTCCAAAATTAATGTTTAAGTATAGTAAATTTGGAAAATGTTGTGCTATAATTCTCTTGCAAATAAAAATTCATGAATTTTAAAGGCAAATCTCCATAATATGGCCTAACACTTTTTTTCGATGATTATTTTGACATCTCGCATTCAATATTGAAATTGTATACTAATTGAAATTTGAATTGATTTCAAACATGTTGTTTAGGTGTTGAATAGAATTCGAACAAGCTGATAAAGCTTCGAACAAGTTCAACAAATTTTACAAAAATTTTTAGTGATAAAAATAGTGATTTAGTGATTTTAGTTTTAAATTAATGAATTTAAAAAAAAAAAAATTCAGTAATTTTAATTAAGATATTCACAGAAGTAAAAAAAATATAAAATCAATACTATTAGTTATTCTAAAACTGTAATTTTTATATATGTGATAAGTGTAGTGTATTGCAACGTAGATGTATTTACCATGCTATACCAAGTAGTTCTAGCTGACATTTATGTTATAAATTGCATTGTAAACAAAATACATTCGAGATTAAATATTATAGTTAATTATTTTAATATATAAAACAATATACAAGATTTTTACACTTGACTTGATTTAACATTTTACTTTGAAGGAAAAAATTTCATGTTGCATTAACAAAAATTAATCAAAATAAATTTCTAAATTTGACTTTGATTTACATAAGAATTGCATACTTATATATATATGTATATGTAAATACATAAAATACATATATATAGTGAGACATAAAATTGTAGCTGCACTTTTGCTATATTTGCGAGAATCTATAATGTAATTGGAGAAAATATATAAAGCAACCAAAAGCAATGACACAGCGCAACGTTTTCTTCAACTTCTTTTTGTTTTTCTTGAAACGTGCATGAATATTTTTTATAAATATTTATAAATTATTATATATATTATAATAAAAATAACAATTTTATATATATATATAAATAAAGTCACCATAATACGAGTATATTATTATATAAATATAAAACACCGTTCAAATGTGGATTGTGATGGCCGAAAAAAATTATTTAATCAGCATGGCTCAGCATGTGAACAATGGCATGTGATATTGTGTGTAAATACAAAATTTTAAGTGTGAAATGAAAAAATTCAATTTTTCAATTTTAAATAATTTTGCAATTTTTTTTTTAATTTATATTTAAATTTTCTTATATATTTAATTATATAAAAATAAATAATTATTCAATATTTATTGTTTATTTTCGATTGTATATACAAATATTATATATATGTACCTTTCATTATAGTATTATTATATAAATAATTTTATATATACTTACATATCATATGAAATAGATACACTGTTGAATGGATTGGACGTGAAGGTTTAGATATTGAAACTCATGAAGAATATTTAAATCATTTTATTGCACATTTTTACAAGAATATCGTTAAATTGGTTGATCGGGCAATGCGTAAGGAGGATTCAAGTGCACAAGGACAAATTGTTACAGAAATTTTACAACATTTACATGCATGTAATAATTCAGTTAAAGTATTTTATGGTAGAGAGGAAAGTTTGGAAAGAATTCAAAATTATATGCTTGGGGATTCTGACAAACCGTTAGTATTATATGGTGAAGGTGGTTGTGGTAAAACATCAATGTTAGCAAAAAGTGCAGCATTAGTAGCAAGAGAATGGTTTTTAGGAAAGAAACCAATTAATATTATAAGATTTTTAGGTACAACACCAGACTCAAGTACACTTACACCAACATTAATTTCGATTTGTCAACAGGTATTTGTTTTTCTATGCAAATACAATAAATTTAATATTAAACTTTAAATAAAATTTTAATATTATTTTAATATCTCATTTTAGATTTCATATAATTATATGTTGCCATTTGAAAATATACCCGATGATTTAGTGCCATTAACAGCACATTTTAAACAACTCTTAACATACGCATCTGAAAATCAACCTTTAACATTATATTTGGATTCGGTAGATCAATTGTGCGGAACACAAGATGCTAATAAAGTATCATGGATACCAACAAGATTACCACCAAATTGTAAGGTGGGTAAATTGTTACTCGTATACTTATATAAATTAATAAGTGATTTTGGGATGAATTAAGTAATGTTGCACTTGTGGTTTTATATTATTTGTTGATACTTAAAAATTCATATTTGCCGTATTGAATAATTTAATTGGGGATCTTTTTCTAATTCAAGACGTCAGGCCCAATGATATAGTGCTGTATAGGTTGAAAATCTAATTCGGAGATTTTTTCTTTTTAAATAGAAGCATATGATGTAAGTTAATAGCAAAACTTAATTATCGTTCGTTCCCTCACCACTTTATCTATAATAGTGTCAATTATTCGGATGAAATTGCAAATTATATGGATGAATTATTTTCTCACATTTACTATACCTTCCAAAACATATTTTTTAAAAAATTATTAGAGAATTCAAAAGTCTTTATTTTCTTAAAATTTTAATCATAATTGGCTATTATGAAAATAGTAAGCATTTACATTTAATATAAAAAACAATAATATTTTTTTAGTTTTTTAGTTTTTAATTTAAAATTCCTTTTTTTAGATTATTATATCATGTGCAAATGAAGAAAATAATCCGACCGTATCACAAGAATATCATGTTCTTCGTAAAATGATTGATGTCGATGAGAATTTCATTGAAGTAACAGCTCTCGGTGAAGAGTTGGCAATGAATGTAATAAAAATGTGGATGAAAACAGCATGCCGCGATTTAAATAATTATCAATGGCGTTTAGTTGCTAATGCTATAAGTAAATGTTCGTTACCGATCTTTGTAAAATTGGTTTTCGCTGAAATATGTAGATGGCGTAGTTATACTCGACCTCAGGAAACACATTTAGCATCAAACGTTATGGATTCAATTATGATGTTATTTGAACGTATTGAAAAGCAACATGGTCGTTTACTTGTATTTCATGCTCTTGCCTATATAACAGCAGCAAAATCTGGTCTTTCTGAAAATGAACTTGAAGATTTAATATCATTAGATGATAAGGTTTTAGATGATGTCTACCAGTATCATATGCCACCAGTTAGAAGAATTCCACCATTGTTATGGACACGTATTAGAAATGATTTACCAAATTACTTAAGTGAACGTGAAGCCGATGGTGTTAATGTTATGAATTGGTATCATAGACAATTTCGTGATACTGCTAAAGAGAGATACTTTAAAAATATGAATATGGCAATGTATTTCCATTCTATGACAGCTGACTATTATCTTGGCATTTGGGGTGGTGGTAATCCTAAACCATTTAAATATACAGAAATTCAAAGGCATAGGTAATTATTTTCAATTATTAAGTATTTTAAAATTTTATGTAAAAATTGAAATTAAAAATGTAAAATATTATTTTAGATTTAATTTAACAGAAAAAGAAGGTTCAGCTGATAGAAAAGTTCCAGTTCAACCATTGGTATTTTATAACAAAGAGGGCAAGGTCACAAGATACAATTTGCGTAAGGTATATGCGCAAAATCCTATAAACATAAATCAAATTTTTAATTTAAATTTTCAAAACTTGGATTTAACTTTCACTTTTATTGTATTTTATAACCAGTTTGGTGAACTTCCATTTCATTTAGTTCGATCACGAAGATTTAGAGATTTATATGAAAATGTATTATTTAATTACGATTGGTTACATGCAAAGTTATCAAGTTGCCCATTACAAGCTGTGTTAGCAGATTTTGAAGATGCATCTGTTCATTGTGATGATAAAGAATCAAAACGTGAACTTATGTTAGTAGCCGATGCTCTACGTTTGGGTGGTGCAATTTTAGGTGAACATCCAGATATGTTAGCGCCACAGTTAATTGGACGATTATTGCCTGAAATTGGTGGTAATCCAAATATTAAAATGTTATTAAGAGCCTGTGATAAAAATGGTATAAAAGATTGTGCGCTTATACCAGTTAATCATTGCTTACACACACCAGGTGGTCCACTTAAGGTTATAAAAAATGATATTTAATTCCATCTAAAGATTTAATATGTTAATCCTTGTTCCTTTTTGTTTTCTAGTATTCATTAGAAGGCCATCAATTTGCAGTATTTCAATTTTGTTTGACTAGTGATTATCGATATATGGTATCAATTTCAACACATTTCATTACTTTTGATTTATCAACATCAGATTTGACAAGAGATGTTAATCCTGGTATTGAAGGTATTATGCAACAGCTTGTTTTGAGTCCAGATAATAAATGGGCAGCAGCATATTCTAATAATAATCAAACGGTTCTACTGAATATGCTTTCAAGTGAATTCGTTGTTATTGAAAATCCATTTGAAGCTGATGAAAATGTTACTGGTGTATTCCTATTGAACAATAGGTAAATTTGGTATTGGATGAGAGTTTTATTCTGAGTTATCCACTTTTTTTTTATTTAAAAATAAGTCTTTTTATTAATACACATTTGAAATGGGCACGTTTCGATATGAGAGGAAACTTAGCAAAGCGTTTCGAGTCACCAAAAGATGCTGAAGGATGGCAATTATTATGTAATTTGTTTTATTATTACAAATTTTAAAATAAAAAATAAATGAATTTTACATTTTAGATATGGAATTTCTGAATCAAAGTGAATATTTCGCCGTTTACTGGTCGGGAAAAATCGCTGAAACACAATTGCGTGTTGATTCTGTGAAAAAGACTGGCGAAGCTTTGCCAGTTTATTGTCATAGTGCTATGGTTATGAACAAAAAACGCGATAAAATGTATTGTTGCACAAATGATGCCACTTATCAAGTAAAAAGAGCTTTAACCAAATAATTCCTTTTGTATATTCTGAAAATATTTTAGGTGAGCATTTTCAAATTTGAAAACAATGACAATAATGAAGAAAATCCTCATAGTTGGACTTATAAAAAAGATTTACCACGTTATGATAATGATGAAAAAGAAATGCTTTTACAATTGAAATTAGATCAACATGATAGATTTTTGCTTGGAACTGCTGGTAAAGGTTTCGTTGTTTGGGATTTATCAAAACCTGGACCAGAAAATTTATCAGTAGGGGCAATGTATTTACCTTTACCACATGGTGTACGTAATATAACAACAAAGATGATGCAATCGAATTCAATAATGATCAGTTCAAAACTAAATTATGCTGTGGCTGGAGTAAGAAAAAATTTATATGTTTGGGATTTGAGAACAAAAATGTTAGCAAAAATTTTGGATGCACATTTTGGCCGTATAATACAATTGGAAGCACTAACAATTGGTAACTGGAATAGTGTTATAACATCGTCAATTGATCGCTCTGTTAAGGTGTGGAATATTAATAATATTTTCGAAAAAGTTCATGTCATTGATCGACATGAATTACCAATTGATAATATAAGGTTGTTTTTTTTTCCTATTTTAAAATTTACTATAAAATTCTTTACAATATTTAATTTTTTTTCTGTACAATTTTAGTTTATCTCAATTAAATTTAGCAGCCACAGTTACAAGAAGTTGTGTTGGAATATGGGATATAAGATCTGGACGTTTACTATCAAAATTAGCTGATAGTCCATTAGGTGCAATTGTAACACATGCTGAAATAACACCCGATGGAAAATATGTTATTTCGTCAGAGACAGGGAAATTTTTAATATGGAATCGTGTCTCTGAACAAGTAATATTTCGTGATGATCAACCTGGAATTCAACAAATTACATTCCTTGAAGATGGCTATAAAGTTATGACTGTTTCAGTACCAAATATAAATACGAAACCAGAAGCAGGAAATGATGATGCAAATAAATTGACGGCAATTACAACGGTTCGAACTATTCCAGGTGAATTTTTTTTTTTGAAAAACAATATTTCTTCCTTTTTTGTATAAAGTTGTTAATTAATTATGCTGGATTTTTCTTCAACTTATGAATTCAACACATACTTTAATTTTGTTGACAAAGCTTTGCCTATAAAAATGAAAAAAGTCGTCAAGTGTATTTCGTAGAATTGATTAACGATCTCAATATGAATTGTTATTCGTTTTATTGATAAGGGACTAAGCTATTTAGGTTGTAATTATTAAGAAATGGGTTTTAATATTTTTTATTAAAATTGTGACTCACAAAAGACAGTTTTTAAGAAATTTTATTTAAAATTAATGTTTGAGAAAATAAAATGTTTAATATTTTCATTTTGGAAAAGTTAAAAATCTCTGGAAAACTGTTCAAAAAATTATGAGGTTAAGTTGTTTTTGAAAGTTTACCTAAAATTATTCAATAAACTTGTGTAATATGCAGCAACATTAAGTGTGTACCTATAATTTAGATTTTAATTTTATACTAAAAATGAAATTTAATTTTAAAGTTCAATCTATTACAAAATAGAAACATTTATATAAATTATATAAATTTGTTTATAATAATGCTAAACAAATAATTTAAAAAAAAGTTTTGTGTTATATTCAATTAAAAATAGTAGTGTTTGCATAACAGAGTGCGAATCTCTATAAGATACTTTCAACAGGTAAACTATATACCCCACTATAGTAATTAGAAAATGTTAGTTAAAGTTGTAAATAAATATATTGTTACAAAATGAGTACTTAAAGATCCCTCAATTTCATTTAGCACTCCAAGCATATAGAAAACTGTGTATGTTTATATGTATAATGAATCCCTTTCGGAAAAACATCATTTACCATTCATGATATCATCATATTGTATATTATACCTTTTCCTTGTATATTGAACAATTTCATTAAAATGAAAATTCAGAAATCATTAATTTTTTTAACATTATTTCATCAACATTATTAAGATTTCAATCATTAAAATCATTAACGAAAACTCTTTCAAAATTATTCCATTCAGAATACTATAATATAATTTAATAACAAGTTTTCACACAGTTAGTTAGAATTAAGATACGGTAACTTGAAATTCGAATCGAATTTTACTTTGAATGCAGTTTCGTACCCTTTTTTTACCCTTTAATTTATATTGTTCTTTCTTATTTGAATTACTATAGTAGATGGTCTCAATTATATTGAATTGGTCTCAATAAATTAAATTTTTTTGTACAATTTTAAAGCACCAAAAATAATTACGAAAATTGAGTCCACTTTAAGAGTAAAGAGGTTCTTACACCTTTAAAATTTTCAATTTTCATATTAAGAATGTCGTTTTACAGATATTGTTATACAATTGCTTCATTTCAATAATTTTTTGTATTTCCTGAATATAAAAGTAAATATTTAAAAATTCAGTCATATTGATAACTGTTTATAATATATTCCTATCTGTATTAGTTAATTGATATACGTAGTTTCTTTTTTATATATATGTTATAAACATCATTAGAGGGCATACTAAATGATTATACACATAACAATCATAATCTACCAACAAACAGTATACTCTTTATATAATGTAAATATAAATTCAACTACATTAATATTCTTCAACCAAAATAAATTTCATTGTATATTTTCTTTTTAATAATAAATTATACTTATATATAGTATTATAAAAAAAATTATTCAAAATAAAGCTAATTTTTATTAGCTGGCGATGTTAGTTCTATTTATACTACATTTTTAAGCTGAATGAACTAATGAATTTAATTAATTTTAAATTTGTTGTAAAATATGTTGTAAAATGTAGTAATTTATAATATCGTTCAAAATAAATAATGTAGCAAACTAAATTACATTAAATTAAACAAACCCTGAAATAAATATTTTTATATATTTTAGATGGAGCTATACAATTTCGATTTGAATATCCGATACGTGTAATAGCTGGTTTATCATTTCGAAAATCTGTGATTTCAGCTGATGAAAGTTTTATAATTGTTTGTACAATTGACAAGAGTAACAAAGATTGTTTAGCAGTTTATGATGCTACAACCGGTAATCATGTATCAAAAATTTTATTAAAAGGATGTTATGTTAAGGTAAGAGATGTTTATCCCTTTTAAAACTTAATCTACAAATATTTGGTTTTTAAAAATAACTTTTCGACTAAGTTTCAAAATTTAACAAATAACATACCATTTAAGAGGAATATATTTTTTAAGTAGGTATGCTGTTAAATTAAATTTAAGAATTTAATATTTTTATTTTTAGGATATACTTTTTATGGTTCCGATGCCACACAGAGCTAATCAAGTTTCAATTATAAATAGCGAAAAAGGTATTATTATGGATATTAAATCAAAGCAAAGAGTACGAACTATTATGAAATGGGGAGGTAATATAACAACTGATGGAAAATTCGGACTTTATGCACCTTCTCGGTAATTTACAATTACATGTTTATACTTTATAATATTATACAGAGATATAGAAACAGATATTAATTTTGTAAAGTGCATATAAATATATAAATAAAATAAATGTATAATTAATTAATTATTTATAGAGGCGGTTTAGAATTATTAGAATTACGAAAAGGAACAACAGTTCAAACTTATATACCAAAAGTTGCAGAAGGTGTATTCTCTGTTATATGTCTATTTACAGAAAATGATGAATATGTTTGTTATTATCATAGTGGTAAAAAAAGTATTCGAGTATTTAGAACTCATGATTGCACTTTGGTATCAAATTATCGTTTACAAGCAGAATTAACAGCAATTAAAAGTAGTAAAGATGGTCGTTCATTAGTATTGGGAACGGTTGATGGTTGTATGTCAGTTCTTGCAATTGCTGATCCAATTATACCAGATGTTGCTGAATATTTAAGTGAATTACCGTCACGCGATGAAAATTGGAAAATTAAAATAGCAAAAGCTAAAGCAAGAATTGGTTTTAAAGCTGCAATACGTGTTGCAAAAATTTCAACTCGTGTTAGTCGTAGTAAGCAAAATTTATTAGATAGAAATGGAAATGAAAACAATTTGGAAAATGATGAAAATAAAATTGAAGAAAAGGAAGTAGTCGAATGAATTTGTTATTAGAAAAATTGTTTAATAGTTTTTTATTTGTTTTCTTCTTAAAATAGTTGTTTAAAACCTTATTAATTTGTTATTTAAATAATTTGTATTTATATTTTATTTAAATTTTATGCATAGGTTAGAAAAATGTTTAAGCAAAAAAAAAAATATTTTTATTATTTTGATGATTGAAAAATAAATAACAATAAAAAGTAGCTAGTTGAAAAATTGTGTTAAATAACTTTTTTTCTCCTATAGATTTTTAAAATAATTAAATAACTTTTATTTTTATGAAAATTTTATTATGCGAAAATCTAAAAATTGTATATGTAAGTATACATTTTAATGCACTCCCATAGTACACAAAACTATAATACAATTTTAATAATTTCTATATTTATTTGGTAAGTGGAAAACAATTTTTTTTTTAAATTTTTGCAATTTTATTTTAGATGGAACAAATCAATTTACATTCGAATATATAACAAAAGTAGCTCAAGGTATACCATTTCGGAAAGCTGTAATTTCATCAGATGAAAATTTTTTAATTGTATGTACCGTTGATAAGAAAAACAATAAAGATTGTATTGGAGTTTATGATGCTGGGAATGGTGATTTTATATCTAAAATGTCGTGTTTTATTAAAGTAAGTATAAATTAAATATTTTTTTATAAGTCATTTAACACGAAATTCCATGAGAAATTTTAGAGGATTGTATGAAAAAGACATTTAAATATTTTGGTCATTTTTCAATTGAATTGAAATGCAATAATTGTTCTGAATAAATAGTGGTAAAAATGTAATAAGACTGTAAAAATAATTTAAACTTTAAATCTGCTAGCTGGAAACTATAACTTAAAGTATAATTTTCATTAACTCAACAAATTATTTTTCATTTAAATTATATTGCATTATTCAAAACCGCAAGATCTATGTACAAAATGTATCATGTTCGATAAATCTTTGCTATTCCGTTTCTAAAATTTCTAGCTATTTTTGACAACTTAAGAATTATATCTGAATCATTGAAAATTATTATCATTTAATGATTGTTCAGAAGATTTTTCATAAAATTAATTTATTTAAAACTTCAAACTTGTATTATGCTAACATATAAATAGCTATAAATTCAGTAAATTAAAAAAATTTTCAATTTAAACTTTCTCTTTAATATTAATTTTAAAATTACATCCTAATTCTAAAATTGAAAATGTTAATATAAAACTTATATATGCAGAATGTTCAATTCATGGTACCAATGCCAAGAAAACCTCATTTAGTTGCGATGGTAAGCATAGATAAAAGCTGTATAGTTGACATTAAAGCAAAACAAAAATTGAAAACACTTGAAAAATGGAATGGAAATATTACTACAGATGGAAAATATGGTCTTTATGCTCCGTTTAGGTAAAATTAATATTTAACATAGACGATATTGAAAAAATTACTTGCTTATTTGAAATTTATGTATATTGATTTAAAAATTTTTGTATCTTTCTTTTTTTTTTCTTTATATTTCGTTTTTTAATAGAGGAGGTTTTGAACTTATTGATGTTCGTAAAGGCACTACAGTAAAAACTTTTATACCAAGAGTTGCAGAAGGAATCGTTACTGTACTTTCTTTGTTTACTGATAATGATGAATATGTTTGTTATTATCATACAGCTAGAAAAACAATAAGAGTTTTTAGAGTGAATGATGCAAGTATGATAGCAAATTACCGTTTACCAGCTGAACTAACATCAATAAAAAGTACTAAAGATGGTCGTTCAATAGTTTTGGGTACAGTAGATGGTAGTTTATCAGTATTAACTATTGCTGATCCTGCTATTGAAGATGTTGGAGATTTTTTGAAAGATTTACCATCACGTGATGAAAATTGGAAATTAAAAATGGCGCAAGCTAAAGCTAAAACAGAGTTTAAAGCTGCTATACGTGTAGTCAATTTAGCAAATAGTTTAAAACGACCACAAGACAATGATGAAGAGTAATATAATAGAAATTATTTATAATTATATGTAATTATGTAAATTTAATTATAAATAGTTTCTGAAATTTTATTATAATGCTATTAAAAATTGAAAAAATTGTTTAAGTTTATATTTAAAACGAAAATATTTTTTCATAATTCTTAGGTTAATGAAAAGTTAATAAAATAAAACAAGAGTTTAAAAATTTTGTTTTTTTTAATTATAATTTTTCCTATACAGTTTTTCCTACACTCTAAAAAATTTTTATTTCTTTCGCAACTGGTTTATTGTCACAATACCACAAACTATATATTGTGAATCAAATATAATTATATGTATATGTATATTTCGAAAATATTTAATTTTAATTTTAGATGGAACTATTCAATTTACTTTTGAATATAATATTCGTATGGTGGAAGGTATTCCATTTCGTAAATCTGTCATTTCATCAGATGAAAGCTTGATAATTGTGTGCACTGTTGATAAGAAAAATCATAATAAAGATGGTATTTCTATTTATGATGCAGGAAATGGTGAATTTATATCTCGTCTGGTACAATGTTTTGTAAAGGTATTTAATTATAGTTAAATTAAAAAATATTAATTTAAATAAAAAATTTGGAATTTATTTTTGTTCATTATTTTTTAGAATGTCGATTTTTTGGTAGCAATGCCAAATAAACCACACATACTAGCTGTTATAAGTATAGAAAAATGTGTTATAGTCGATCTTAAAACAAAATTAAGAATTCGTACTATTGAAAAATGGAATGGAAATATAACAAATAATGGAAAATACGGACTTTATTCGCCTACAAGGTAATTTAGTATACCCTAATGCATTTTTAATAATATTTATAAAATTATGAAAAATTATTTTAAACCTCTTTAGTTTATGCACTACATACAACACGAAGAGCAACAAAAAAATATTTTGCATATATTTAGGGGTAATTAATAAAGGTTTTCTTTATAATTTTTTCTTCGTTTTTAATTTAATTCTAATTCAATAAATAGTAATATTGTTAAGTCTTTTAAAAAAATTTTTATTATAATATTTTTAAAAAAATAAATATAATAAAATTTATGATGACCGATCATGATTTATAATATTTTTAAAGACGTTTTAAATAATTAACATTTCCATCTAAAATTTTTAATTCTTATCTAATAACAACTATATCAATATCTTTTTTCTTTATAGGGGTGGATTAGAACTTGTAGACATACGGAAAGGAAGTTTAGTGAAAACTTTTATACCAAGAGTTGCAGAAGGTATCGTTACTGTACTATCATTATTTACAGAGAATGACGAATACGTTTGTTATTATCATACATCCAAAAAAACAATAAGAATTTTTAGAATCGCCGATACAGCTATGATAGCAAATTATCGATTACCAGCTGAATTAACATCAATTAAAAGTACTAAAGATGGTCGTTCTTTAGTTTTAGGAACTGTTGACGGTTGTTTATCAGTTCTTACAATTGCTGATCCTATAATCGAAGATATTGGTGCTTATTTGAAAGATTTACCATCACGTGATGAACATTTTAAAGCAAAATTAGCAAAGAAAAAAGCAAGAAGAGGATTTAAAGCAGCTGTTGGAGTTATTAAAGTTTCCGCTCTATTAAATCGTTCAAGACAAAATTCAGTTAACAACAATAATGAAAAATCGGAACAATAAATAATTAAGTTGAAATTGAATTAAATTGAAATTCAAAGTAAATGTAAATTACAAAAAAAAAAAACTTAAAATTAATATTCAAAAAATTAATTGGCAAATAAAATATTGAATCAAAATTTTAGTTTACAATCATTAATCTATAAAATCCATAAGACTTATGAAATTAAACTAATTTGTTATTAGAAAATAATACCGATTAAAAAAACCCAAATTAATTTTTTAGCTAAATTACTTTCTTTCTCGAAAAAAATTCCTAAATCTAAATTATAATTTCGTTTTTTATAATAATACACAAAAAAAATACATGCACATTATCTAATTTTATAAAAATAAAATATTTCAGAAACATATACATAATATTATCATATTATTTTAGACGGAACAACTCAATTTACTTTTAATTTTCAAATGAGAATGGTAAAAGGTTTATCATTTCGCAAATCAGTGATTTCACAAGATGGAAATTATTTAATTGTATGTACAACCGATAAAAAGAATAATAAAGATGGTATAGCAATTTATGATGCAAAGAATGGCAGTTATATATCAATAATGTCAAGTTTAGTAAAAGTAATTTTAAATATTTTATTATTTAGTGAAATTTATAATCAAAAAATTTCAAAATTTTACAGAATGTAGAGTTGTTAATCCCAGTACCAGCAAATTCAAATTTGGTAATTATTGTTAGTGCTGTAAAATGTGTAATTATTGATATTAGAACAAGGCAGAAAATTCGAACAATTCATCAATCCGATGGCAATATTATGAAAAGTGGAAAATATGTAATTTTACCATCGCCAGAGTAATTATATTATATAATATGTTTTTGAAAAGAATTAATTTTTATACATTTTTATAGCTATTGTATAAGGCTAATTGATATACGTAAAATTCATAGTATGAATGATTGGTTATCAACAGTAAACGATGATAAAACTAATGTAATTTGTTTATTCACCGAAAATGATGAACATGCTTGCTATTATAATATATCGAATAGAACATTAAAAATTTATAGAATTGCTGATGGTATTATGATTGCAGACTTTTGGCTAGAATCAGATCTTACTGCAATTAAAAGTAGTTCAGACGGTCAACATCTTTTTTTAGCTACAGCAAATCGATATTTTTCAGTTTTTTCTATTGCTGATCCTGTAAATAGTACTTCAAACAATATAAACGGTTTATTTTCAAATGGTAAACAACCAAAAATTAAAACTAAAACAAAACAAAGCTTTCAAAAAGCTCTTCGTTTTGTTAAAGTCTCAGCAATTTTAAATCGTTCAAGACAAAATTCAATTATAAATGAAGATGATGAATACCAAATGAATAGCTTAGAATATCAATCATCAGTAGCAGATTAATATTATAAAAATTAAAATTAATTAAAATGTATTTATTAAGTTATAGTTTAAAAAATATGAACAAATATACGATATAAAATATAAATATAATTTTTTTATTTTGTTAAACAATAAAATTAAATGAGTTGGTCTTTACCCTTATTATGGAAAAGAAGTTCAAATTTTTGTTTCAAACATAATTTTTACAAAAATCTAAGGACTTCAACCTGTATAAAGAGATACATTGCGAAACAGGTTTTTTAAGTATTGTGCTGTATTATTATAGATATACAATAACTCATACAATAGGATTAAGCACATTGCTTAACCTAAGACAAAATTAATTAGTAAAACTTAAACATTTAAAAGGTAAGTTATTTGAATTTCATTATGAAATTGTTCGAAAATGGAACATTTAAGCTATGCGGAATATGCAAACATTTATATTTTGCCTTTATCTTATTTACTGCTTGATTTTAAATCATATATCAACTTAATATTTTAAGGAATTAACTAGGAATTTTTATTAATTTTAGATTAATTTAATACTTCAAGATCTTACATCATGGCTTTGAATATTACTTTTTTAAACTTAAATTAATTCGTAATTACAACGCCTCCAGTTAAATTTATGAGTGACTAGTACACATACGTTTTTGATAAATTTTCAAAAACGTATGTGTACTACGAAATAATTTCTACACATTCACCATTTGGAACATATTCACAAGCACGTTACGATCAAATACTAATTTTCGTTTCTTTAGAATCATTATCCTATCGGGCGTTATCTTTATCTGACCGGATTATAAACTTTTGCCTCTACCCTGCAAAATATTTTTAAATTAGAAATAAAAACAAATATAAATCGTAATAAGTAATATTAATTTTATTTATTAATTAAATGTATAATAATTTACTGTCATAATAAAATATTTTTTTACTTACTTTATTCTGTTTTTTTTTATATTATTTTCTTTCTTTTATGTAATTTTTTATATTAATTTCAATTTTTTTTATTTTGTTTTTTTTTTTCTGTTTTATTTTATTTTTACTTGCAGTATTTCTCATCTATAATTTGATTCTAATTAAAAAGGAACAAAAACATTAATAGTGCCTACAAAATACTCAAAGAAACAAATTATTAAATTTTTGTCTATATAATAATATAGATAGTATATATATGTATACATTTTATATGTAGTAAATACATAAAATTATTAAACTATTACTCTTTTTTTTTTATTTGTTTTCTCTTCACCTGTATATATTTTAATGGGTTCATCCTAACGAATTTCATGAATTTCTATATGTTTTCTTAAATTTTAAGATTTTGGGTATATTTCAAAAATAAAATCAATTTATATCAAAAAACATTTTCAAGTTTTGCATTTAAATGAAAAAACAAATTGTTGAATTAATTTTATATATAAATTTAATTAATTTTTAGTAATTATTATATGTACGCGTATTAATATACAAGTAAAAAATATATTAGTTATATAGTTTTGTAATGAGGACTATTAATAATTGTGAGGAATTATGTTATTCTAGTGTATAATTTATTAAAATATTAGTTAAAATAATAAATTTGAGATATACATATTCACTTCAGAGAATTACTAAAATATTCTCCTTACTGTTCTAAAACAATCCTAAACATCTAAACTCCAACAATACTGTTTTAATAAAGAGTTAAGCTTATAAGATTTTATTATTAAATTTTTTAAGAAATTAAAAAAAAAATATTACTTTCTTGTAATGCAATAACTTTGATATCAGCAAACTTTCTAACACCAAGATAAACGTTAATTTAGGTAAATTCCAGGGAACGTTAATTGAAATAAATGTTTATAGAAAATTTAACAATTAAAAAATATTAAGAACATAATCGAAATATTATCTATTTGGGAACAAACAATTTTTGAAAAAATTAAAGGATATTTTTTGATTTCAACTAACACATTTGAATCATATCAAAATAAGATTTCACTATTTGTGAAATTTATACATTTCTAAATTACATATTATAATATTATATGCAAACAAACCTCTAGTCCTAATGTTTAAAATTTAAAAAATTCAAATTAAAATTTTAAAAGTTTTTCTACTGTAAAATCTATAATAAAAACGTACACAAATATACTGGCATTAAACAGTTTCAATAGTTTTTAGTATATATATTGGAGAAGTAAAGATAAGTTTAGACAGTAAGTTTAATCAGAATATTTTACATTTAACTATTAACATTTATTTGTTTTCGCAATCAACTTTTGTAATCACTGTACAAAAATTACATTAGTTCACTTCTTTAACAAGACAATTTAATACTAGAGGTTGCAACCGAAGATAATTTTTTTTTTCGTGGATTTAAATTTTTGAATACTTTGTTCTTACCTTTCGAATTTATTTCTTATAAACTTTTTTAATTGTGTAAAAATTACAATGATTATCACTAAAACTATCTTGAGAATAAAAAATATTTTTAAAATTTAAAATATTGAAATATGTCGATTAAATATAAGTTGAATTAAATAGACACTTTGATTTGTTAGTATACTTTGAATTAATTTATAAAACTATATAAGGTATGAAATAATGCCAAAAACATTTTGTTAGTCACTACATTATAGGTCACTTCTGTGCTATTAACAGTACAATTAATTTGGTTCGGATTCGTTCAAATGTTAAGATTTATATATAATGTCGCAAAGAAAATATGAAACTCAATAAAATTATCTCTGATTCTTTTTACATTCCTTGCAGCAATATTGCTAGTTGCTATTATGCACTTAATGTATTTAAATTTATATTATATATAATTTAAAATTTTCTTTTAATATTAGTTTTTAGTGAAATATAATATAACAAACTGCTTTCTTAAAAACAAATTTGCTGACCAAATAAATATTAAATATAAATACGTACATATTATAAATAAAAAAACACAAATAATAATTATTTGCTACAAAATAAATAAAATTAATTCCGCGCTAATATTATGACAAATGAGCATTAATGTTGTAGTAATGTTTTAATTGTTGTAAAGCTAATTTGGATTTAAAACGTACGAAAATAGTTCTTTCTATAAAAATAGTTTTTTAACTAAATACAAATTATATATTGTAAATGAGATTTACTATAGTAAGTTTTCGAGTATGATTCAAAAAAAAAAAAAATGGTTTAAATTTTTATTTCGAGATATAACTGGAGATATGAAGGTTTGAATTTTAATCAAAAATAAAACAACATCCTTAATTAAAAAAGTTACAGTTTTATATAAATTTGTGATTATATAACATAATTCTAGGAAAAAAAAAAGTATATTTTAATTATTCTATATAAGTAAAAACATTACAATATTTTTAATTATTTTACATTCTACGTTCTGATTAAGGACAAAATTTCACATTTATAACGTTTTCAATTATCATTCCTCCTCATTAGAACACAACGATAAAAATTATATTTATTTTTTAGAATTATTGAATTTTTTTTTTCTTAATGAATAACTAAAGCTAATTATAAATAAATACAATTTAATATAAATTCTGAATAATATTTAAAAATAAAGAAATTCATGAGAATTAACATATTTATTTATTTAAAAAATAAAAATATGAAAAAAATTTTGTGTAAAATTATTAGAGAGAATAAAATCTTATATCGCATAATAAAATATTAATATCTATATATTTTAATCAACTAACTTAAAGGATATTATTAAACACAAGCGCAAAATAAAAAAAAATTCTAGATTAATATAAATAATAACTTTGCCGTATTAAATTTTAATTTATCTCCAAAAACACTGTATGAAATTATTTTAATAATATTTTAATACTTTTAAATTTTGCCAAATTTTATTAATATTTCATTATACGAAAAAGTAAATAAATTTATTTCTATTAAAAGCAAATAATTAGCTTGAAACAAAAGAAAACTTTTATTGATAATAATTTACGAGGTCTATAAATTAATTAGTTTAAAAAACAAAATTAGAAAAATTTTTTCATTGTGATGTAATATTATAGAAAAAATTTTTAATTTAATGTAATACCGATCCTTTCTTCACTGTTTGACTTTCATTATAACCAAAATTTAACATAACAATAGTATAACATACTAATAAAAATTAATTTATAATATCTAATTATAATTTACAAGGAATTTTGAAAGTGTTCACATCTTCTAATATAATTTATATGAATGGTATTTCTTCAAAGCTGTGAGAAAAGCTGAAGGATAAGACAATAAAAATATTATAGCAAATCGAAGATTTCTATTTATATTTTAAAGGTTTTATGTTAACATTTATTCTGTCGTAATTATTTAATTTTTACAACTCCGTTGATAATTACTCCAATTACAGGAAACTTTCTAATTCTTGATTTAATTATACTTAGCTTATCTTAATTTTATTTCAACTTTATAGGATTTCATTCCTATACCTAACAGATCTCTAATTCCGTTTACCTGATATGGTAATGTACATTAATCACTATTAAAAATCAGTACGAAAAAATATATATAAACCTATCTATTTAAAAATACAACAATAAATCAGACAAATAAATATAAAATCATGAATTGCAATCCCATATATCTAACCGGAAAGTCAATAAGATTTACGTACAAAAATTATTTCTTTTGAAAGTCAAAGCCCGAATCGAAATGAAAATGCAGATAAAATTTTTAGTGTAAAAACTATTTTGTAATAGATTTATATCAAATAATTTACAATTTTCTTATAATGCGTTAAAGTGCAAATACTTGTAAAATATTGCTATTATTAAAAAAAAAATACTATTTGTTAAATTTCTTAAAATATAGAAAACAAAACAAAAATTTAATATTTCCTTCTTTTCGTTTCATTTTATTTAAATAATTGTATTCCTTTCTTTAAAATTTAATACTTTAAAGTTATATTTCTTTTTTGTTGATTTGCTTGTAATTACTTAATATGCATATACTTCATTAATCATTTATTTCTTTCAATTAATTAAAAAAATATTATAATCAAATAAATTAAGTAATAATAAACTGCTTAGCTTTGTTTCTGTTGCTTAATTTGCGCTAATTTTTGTTGGAGATGCTCCAATCGATTTGGTGAAAGTTCTGGCTTCTAAAAAAAAAAAATAAATTACAATTTGTTGATTTTAAAAATGGTTGCTTATGAAGAATGTTATAACACAAAAGACTTGAAATTTAGTATGAAGAATATATGCAGAAGAAAAAATTTTTAGTAGGAATATGTAAAAGAATTCAATTTGATTTTATTGAAAATTTTTAATACTTTACAATATTGAGATATATTATGTATATAAGAGTATATTACAAAATAAATTAAATAATTAATTTCAAATTGAGATTATTTAAAAAAGTTGATCAAAGATGATTTAATAAAAAAAACTGATTTTTCAAAAGAATATTGAACAACTTTTAGTTTGTTCACTTGAAAAACAATAGAAAGCAGTTTAAAAATAAACTAAGTTAATAAATTATTTGCATATTACTATGCTAATAAATTGAATTAATAAAAAAACTTTAAAACTATAAAAACAATTAATAATGGGTAAACTAATATCTTATACATATAATATATAACATTGTATGTAAGATGTAAGCTAATGTTTACTGGTAATGTTTATAAAACTTACATCTTTACGTATTAATGATACTTTAGTTTGAATTTGATTTAAATTTAAGTTTTCATCAGCTACTTTGTTATCGATTAAATGATTAATATCATCATTTTTTGATGAATTTAAGTTTCCTTTTGCTCGAAGTCGACTTAATTTTTCCATCCAATAATCTGGATCAAGTTTGTTTCCAGGACGATTCGTTGACGGCATAATTTTTGTGTCTAAAATATAATTATTAAACTTATCATTTAAATCTGTATATTTGATTTAGTTTTCATTAATTTACCATATTTATTATCACCATTTGCATTATTTTGATTATTTGAATTGTTTGAATTAGAATATTGTCTTTCCAACTCAGCTAAACCATCTTCAATATATTTTTGAAAACATGGACTTGCTCCTTTTAAAAAGGGCGCAACATCAACTTCAGGATTTTCAACCTACAAAATATTATTTAAAAAGATAAATGGCAATAAAGAGTTATTTAAATTTGTGTTTTTATAGGGTATTGTTAGATCACTATGAATTTGCTGAAATGTTTTTCAAAATTTATCTATGTTTATCCAAATAATGATGGCTTTGCAAGCCTTTCGTAATTAATATAAATTTTGTATTTTAAAACCGAAAAAATATGCAAAAACTATTTTTATCAATTAAAATAAATTTAATGATTGATAATGAAATGTTATGGAGAAGTGCACAACATTCACTTTAGAAACATGTTAAGGGTCAATTTGCAATTAAAACCATAAAATGAAATTAAACATATTTAATATTCCAACTAAAAACTAAAGTGAATAAATAACCTGAAATCTTTGTTTTATTTCTTCGACCAAGAATTTTAGAATATTAACATAGCGAAGCTCAAAATCGTCGATAGGAACCTGGCAATATAGCAATATATATATTTTAAAAAATTGAACGCTAAAATGAATATCTAATAATTAAATTCGTCTGTTATACATATATGAAATTTTAATGTAAGCTAAAAAAATCATAAAGATTATGAATATAATTTTAAAATAACTCCACTCATCATTACGAACATTCAAATTTTTCTATGGAACTCATTTAAATGTAATATTTGAAAAACTTACCTTAAATTCATATAATTTATTAAAACCTTGTTTGCTTGTTTCTTTATCAGATATAAGTTTAAATATTTGTGTCATAGTTTCATGTGTTTGATTTGAGAAGCGTTTTGCTTGTATATCCTTCCCTGAATTCGATCGTTGAGGTGAAACTCCAGATCCTCCTCCATCTTTTTGTATATTCTAATTTAAAAGTTTTTATTAAACATTCATTGAAATCAAAGCAATTTTTACTAATTTTAGAAGTCTCATGATTAATTACCTTCAGTATTTTAATTAAATATGCATGTAACTCTGAATGAGATGGAATTTTATTTAAATGTTGCAAAATTGCGTTGCCTTTTATTTTTGTCATATTATGTATTATAGTTTTAACGGTTCTCAACGGTGTATCTGATGGACGTTGTAGCCACCATGAACTTGGAAGAGCTAACATAAATTCATGAACTTCCATTAGAACAGCATCATAATCTAGTTCGTTGGACCGATCTGTCATCATTTTTACGTTTCTCCATATACACTTCATTAGTAAATCGGTAAATTTAGGCAAGCCAGCGCTCGGGCATGTTTCTTTTAGTAAACGAATTAGAGCACTAAATAAAAAAGGGAGAAAAACTTCTATTTAGTACAAGAAAACGATTAATGTAGATGTTTGTATTTACCAATTTAAATTTGTAAAATTCGTTCTGTCTAAAATTTTTAAACATATTCCATTAATTACTTTAGTATATTGTCCATCGTCACCAACTGACAGTCTTTGATCGGCCATTAATCCCAATAACACTGACATAATATTTTTCAAACTTGATACACCTAATGTTCTGCCCAATGTTTTTGAGTTGAAAAATGCATACGTTATTGATAACAAAGGCTGATAGATTATCAAAGATTCATTTATAGGTATTTGTGAGAGATTCTATCAACAATAAATAAATACAAACAATAAAAATATATATTACATCAATTAACTTGCAAAAATAACCTTGAATTGTGTTGCAACACTTTGAATAAACATTTCCTCATAGTCTCTTAACGCAGCCTGTTTATCTGGAGACTCTAAAATATCTCCAATTTCAGTCATTGCAGCCCTTGCCGTTAATGTATCTGTATGTGCTATTTGTTGTATTATTTTTACCAATGCTGGGTCTAGTTTATTTGGTAATAATGTATCGGCCAAACTAAATATAAAGTTTTCATATTAGAAAAACGGAGTTCTTATGAATATTTATATATAATCAATTTTAACGTGTTAAAAATAAAATATAAAAAAGAAATTTTTATTACTTTTGTTGAGGCTGATGCTGGTTCGTTCTTGATGTATATGCTGAAACAGGTTGTGAAGGACTCATTGTGTATATGTTATTACTTGATGTATTATGCTGTGGTATCATATTATGAGATTGTGAAATTAATTTATCAAATTTATCTTGTGGATAGCCTACTCCGTCTTTAGATACAATACGAATTGGTTCATCCATAAAACTTAAATCAACACGCTCCACTTGAACTTGTTTCATTTGATCGGACTTTACCCAATCTTTTTCTATATCAGCTATCACTTGAGGATCTAAACCAAATGGACCAGAAGGTTTATGAGGCATTTGCTGAATGCTTGGTTGATCAAATGTTCTGTAAATCGTATATAATACATATGTATCAATTTTATTTATAGTTATGGAGTTTTTCGACATATTTTGCTTTGTGATATATAAACCAAGGAATTTTTATGTTATCTTAATAGCTTTCTATAATCGAATGATCAAAGACGTGTACGCAATTAAGACCTATAATATACGCTAATACCAAAAAGCGAAACAACTAAAAATTATAATGAAAGTTTAAAGCAAGTAAACTCTTTTTTTATGAACTCATAATTTACGTGAACCCTTAATTCCAAGACTAACAAAATAAATGGACAAAAACAATAATACAAATGATGAAAATAAATAATTAATAAATAAAAAGGGATACAAAATATTAAGCGAACATAAATTAAACTTACAAACTTTATTTTTTTATTTTTTGTTTTCTTGTGAGCACATAATTTAGATATAAAGCATGAAATAATGTGCGTTTGTTTTAAATTTTTTTTTTATTTGTACTCACACCATCAGTCATGACTTCTTTTTAAAAAAAATTCTGCAGCAGTGTAAAATTTCAAAACAAAAAATCAATAATTTAATAAAAAATATTCAAGTAAATCGATGCTATCGTGTTTTCGAATTAAAGTCGATTTCAGTCTTATATATCTTTGCTTATACATTTCTTAAATTTAGTTCTGGTATTGAACAAAAGTATGTAATAAAATTTTAAACCAAAACTAGAAGAAATATATTTCGATTTTTATGTATATGCAAAAATCTTAATATCAGAAATAAGTGAAATTAATTAAAAAAAAAATTATACCTAACAGCTACAAATCATGAAGCTAAAAACAAGAATGTGCAAATTGAAACAAAAATTAAAGGAAAAAAAATTATTTACGCTTGTCTTTTCAGAGTATGTTCTTGATTAGAATAACCATTCTTATCTTCTAATTTCATAGAACTAAAAACCAAAGAAAAAGTTTAAAATTCATAAGGAGAAAACTAAATTTAAATTATAAAAATAAATATTCTTGTAAATCCAAACATTTACGCACCTATTTACCGCTGACGGCGAATTACTTTCATCAGGTGGTGGTAATTCATCATCAGCTGGGTCAGTTACGTTATCTTCAATTTCAATTTCGGATTGCATTGGTTGTACTTTCACTGCTTCAACAACAGGTGTAGGTTTTCGTGTCTTTTTAGCTCTTTTAATTCTCTCATCTAACATTGACAAATCTTTTTCATTCATTTGTCCAATTAATTTATAAATTTTATCACCAGCCAAAAAGTATGCCTGAACAACACAATTTAAAGCAGCATTTCTTACGGAATTGTCACGATCTGATATATGCCGAGCTATTTCTTTAAGTGCAGCTTGGGGAGTCGGTTGACATATTGATAATGTATAAGTTTCAATTAAATAGCCTAATTCATCTAAACATTCTGTTCTCTGACGAGCATTTTTTGATTTTAAACCATCCATAACATAAACGAAAACTTTTGCAAACGGATAAACACAACAAATTTGTCGCAAAAGGGAACGTACACCATTTCTAACTGCATCTTTTGGATCGCCAATCTGAAAAGATTGTACTTTACTTTAAAAAGAATTTGTATGTGCACATTATTAGCAATTATTGCGTCACACTAATATTATATTAGTAGTCACTTCGTCACACATAATTATATTTGTATATAAATAAAAGAGGAGCTTAAAGTTTAACTATTACTTATTTAACTATTATAGATAAATTAAGCTGAAATACATATATCCAAAACGATACAACATCAAATTCAAAATAATTTCCTTATCACTAAATAATGTCACTACCATTAAAGTTTAAAAAAATTATACATTTTTTTTTTTAAAACAGCAATTTATAAGAAAAATTTTTATTTCAAAAATATTTTTAAAATTTATGAAGTTTAAAAAAAAATTACTAACACAATAGAAAAATATTGTTAAATTAATACTTACTTTTGTTAAAAGATGTGGAATAAAGGCACTGCCTTCATTTTCGGCCAGAATATACTCTTGGTCAGTTAACATCTGAAAAACTATGTTCAGATACTCAAGACCTTTCAGTAAAACAGAAGGGTTGGTATCATAAAATCTTAGAGATAACCATTTCAAGACTAAATCTAAATTACAAATAAGAGCTTTACTGTTGATTTGTACATCTTCGACTAATGCTTCAATCACTTTTAAATGATATCTAAAAATGTAAAATTTTCGTTATATAACAAAAATCTTAAATACATTGACAGAGTCATACCGAAAATCGTCATGAAACATATTCGCCATTAAACCCTTATTAACATTAGCAGTAGACATTTGTTCTTTTAATAATTCAATGAATTCCTCCCTCGGTGTGGTAAAAGACCACCTTAAAACGCGCATTTTTTGTTCGTCAATTAAACGTTGATTTTTTGTGCTATTTACAACTAATAAAGGTGAAGTATCAACATCCTCTTCTTTTTTCCTCGAACTAACAGGTTTTTCCGGAATTTTGCTTTGAGATTTAATTGTTTTTCCAGGTGCAACTTTTGTTTTGACAACCTCTTCCAAAATTGGAGCTTGTTGCTTACCTTTCGGTAATGGCTTAACTGGAAGATTGGGTCTTGCTTTGTCTAAAGCTGCTTGAATGTCTTTCTTAGAAGCTGGTTTTTGCTTATCTAATGCTTTAACCATACTTTCAAATCCGATATGAATCATTATTCCTAAAACAGCTTCATTTGCATTTTTCCTAACATCAGCATTTCGATCACATATATTTGCATACAAATGAGGTAGCATTGCAACAATTTCATCTTTTGGTATTGCTTTAACAGGAATATTTGGTAATTTTTCAGCCAACCATCCCCACAACTCTGTTTTAAGAGCGGGACTTCCAGTTTTCAAAGAATCTGCTATCATTTCATTAGTAAAAAAATCTTTATAGCCACATTGATCTCCCCATGTATTTATACAAGCTAACGAAGATTGTCTTATAAAAACCTTATTATCACCCAAGCCATGTAAAAACATTGGGAACAAAGTTAGGACATGCGTTTTACAAGCTGGACCCATTGCTGTAGCTAGCTGCTCGCATATTTGGAATGCAGTTTGAGCTATTTTGGCATTACTATCCCCAAGACGAGGAGCTAAAGCTTGCGGTAAATCTCCAATTGACGGTTTGATTAGTTTTGCATCATTTAATATTGACTGTAATTTTATAAGACCTTCATTTCTCGTTTTCCAATTTTTGTCAGCAATTTCTGCTAATAGAGATTCAGTAATTTGTGAGGAGATGTCAACACGTGGTAGCAAATCAGCAATATTCATAGGTTCTTGACCACCTCCTGCAGCAGTGTCATCATCTTCCTCATCGACTACAGAACCAAGACTTGAACTTTTTTTCACACCTCTTATAGGAGCTGGTGGCTTTTGCCCTAAATTTTTACTTACTTCAGCTTCAATTATTGATTTAACAGCTGGTTTTTCGTTATCAAAAAATATTAGTATAGTGTTACCCATATACATAGCCAACGACCCACATAAAGAAATTGCGGCAGTTCTAACTGTAGGGTTTGTACTTTGGACTCCTTTTTTAATGTCGTCAATTAATAATTTTGGATTAACTTGAAATCCAAATTCTTTGATTGCTTGATTTGTCCAATTAAGTCCTTCCGATTGTACCTTTGGTGATTTCTGCTCAAAAGCAAAGGAAATTACTTTTGAAACAACGTAGTCAAGTTTTATTATTTCAGCAATTGAAGTTAAAAGTTGGGCAGCCACAACTCCATTTTTAGGATCAGCCAATTTTTCCGTAACTTCATTCATAATAAAATCTGCTGTTGTTGTAGTGAAAGTAAATTTTTCTGTTATGATTTTTATTATATCCAATTTTATTTTTAAAACTTGAAAATTCATTTCTTTTAAACCAGGTTTTCTTTGACTTAATGTTCTTACTAAAATTTGCGCTATATTTGGAGTCTTGATATCAAAATCACCAATTTGATTTTGGAAATTTTCAACTGCTGCCAAACGTGTTTTCCAGTTGCTGTCCACTAAACCGCTTAAAATATCGGGAGTCAAAAGTTCTTCTGCGCGTGCTGAAACTTCCTCTGGTGTGAGCTCTTTTTCTGTTTGGACTACTTTGCTTGAGCTAGCTGATTTAGCAATTGAATTTCCAGTTCCTCCTCCACCTTGTCTTTGTGTGTCTTTTTTCACTGGCGCCTTTTTAGCACCAGCAGCTGTAGCAGGACGTGAAACAGGTTTTGGATCTGCGCTTCCTGCTTTTACTGTCGCTGATTTGACAGTCGGAGCCGTCGCAGGACGTTCTTTTTTAGATCCGGCAATTTTTATTGTTATAACTGCTTTTTCTTGACATTCCTTAATTTTAGCCATTTTTAAGGCATCTACTTCAGTTAAGAAAACCCCAACAGTTTTTTCCCCCATTAACTTTAAAAGCGTTCCTAAAGCTTCTGCGGCGCAATCTCTAACAGTTGGATCTGGTTCGTTTAAAGTTTTCAATAAAGACGTAACAAGTACTTTTAGAAGCTTTTTATTTAAGGAAGTTGGCTGAGTTTTTGTGAAAGCTCTTGCTAAAAATGATGCTGTTTCAGCTTTTACACTTGGATTTTTGTTATTTAAAGCTTCAACAATGTCTTCCTGCATAGATTCTAATGATGTTGATGGATATATTGCATCGATAGCATCACGCAAAGCTGCTACAACATTTGCTTTTTTTTCTTTAAATTTTTCAAATATTGCAGGTATACAGGCCTAAAATATGAAAAATTTTTATAATCAACATAAAAAACCAAAATATTTTCATAATTACAGAAGCATATGTAGAATATCGCTTTCCCAAACCTTTTGCAAGTGATGCCATACATTTACCAGCCATGGCAACTAATATAACATTTGTATCTTTTGTTAAAACCTTTTTCAATGCACGTACAACATCCCCATAATCCCCACTTTCAAGTTTAGGATTTTCCAGTAATTTTTCTAACGCTTCTAATGATTCTTTTCTTTCCTGCCACTTTTTTGCTTCCAATTTTTCATAAAAATCTTTGGGTAATTTTGAAAGTATATCAACGGGGTCAATGAGGTCCATAGGGTCGATTTCTTCGCCTCCATCTCCATCAAAATCTTAACAAGAAATAAACAGGTAAAGAACATGCTGGTTGTATTAATTTAAATACTATATACATACAAATTTGATGTTTACTTAATACATACATACATATATAGATTTATTGCTAAAATATAAACAACAATACACCAAAACTACTATCATAATATTATTGGATGAATATATGGGGCATTTGTCAAATGTGTGAAGTAATAAATATCCATTTTTTAAATTTGAACATCATTTAAAGAAACAAATTAATTGTTATGTTAAATAGAAACAAATATGGAGTTCTTCACTTCAATTCTTTAGTGCATTCATATGATATTATGCAACAGTTTTATTTGTAGAGAATATACAAAGAAAAAAAATTAAAGCAAAATAATTCTTGATTTTTACAAATAAAAACACTATTTAAAGGTAGCTTTGGGAAGTAAAACCCAATGATTAACGAAACTGAAGTATGATTCTATGATATTATGTAATAACCTCATATCCCTTCTAGGATGAAAAGGTAGAAAATACCCTTCGGGAAAAATATTTTTTCGCACAAAATCCGCAATAATTAATATAAATTTTTGTCCAAATTTGCAAAATCTTTTCCACAATTTTTCAAAATACTCACAACTAAAAAATAAGAATTTTAACACAAAAAAGGAAATTTCAGTTTGAAAGAAAATGAAATTTTGAATTGAAAATTGACAAACGAAAATCAAAACAATAATCTTAATTTTTTTTTAATTTTTCTATTTTTCCTTTTTTAGTAATTATTCAGTAATATTTTTCCCGATTAGCTAGCTTTAAATAGCGCTAAACTTAATAATGCAGTATATACCCCCAACGGATTTTAATAAAATCATATGAAAAAGATTAAAATATGATTGTAAGCAGAACCTATTTATGAAAAAATACAAAAAAATACGAAATATATACTACGCAAAAAAATTTTCCCGAGCATCCTTTTTTACAGGGATCTGACATTGAAAAATAAGTTGATAAGTTGAAGTATAATATATGTATCTATATATATGTAACTTAAAGCATGAAACATCACATTTTATGTATCAGAATAAATGAAAATTAAAATAACATACTTTAATGAATTCGAAGTGATCAGAAATTTTAAGTGATGATAATAGATTCTATATCTCATAAACATGTATGTAGATTTCGCAGTGATGTGATAAAGCAAACAAAATAATGAAATAAAAGCAATTTGATTGTACAATTTATTTAACGAATATTTTTTTTTTGTGTAACGCAGAAAAAAGGAAAGCTAATCAATCCAGTGTTCAAATAATTTATGGAGTACATTGAATGATCCGTATACAAATTTTATTAATAAAGTTATAACAAAATTGTAATAAATATTAGACATTTACTTGTTTTAAGAATTTTTTTCTTTTTAGTGTTTTCCCTTGCTGTTTTGTTATTAATTATAAATATATGTAAGTAAAGAGAATAAAGATTTGAAAAAAAAAACATAAGAACATTTTTAAAATTATAGAAAGTTAAAAAAAAATTATTTTTTAAAATACATTTAAAGTTATACCGAAAAGTAGAGAGCAAAAATTTTGTTAACATAAATAGTTTTTTTGTTTAACAAAAAACAAAAAATAAAAAAAATTAACTTATTTTACATACATTTAGCAACTTATATAAAAACAATAATAATAGACTTTAAATTAGTATTTACCATCACCATCATCACCACCGTCAGCAACCGCAGCTGCAGAAACGGCTTGTTGTTTTTCTTGTTGTGATCTTAAATACCTAAAAAAAAATTAAAATTGGCTAAATAGAAATATCTTTTTTAGGAAATACGATAAGTAGTACATAATTGAATTATTTTGTTTAAAATTAAAAATAAAATAAAAGATATGAAGACTTAAACTATTCACAATCAAAATTAAATCTTGTATTATAAAGTATATTGTATTGATATTGGATACTATATGTAAAAAAATCAATATTCAAAATTTTAGGTTGCAAATCAATAAAAAAGGAACTAACTCATTCCAAAAACGTTTTTTTTTAATTTTGCTTTATTTTGTATGATTAAGATCACTTAAACGCAGTATTTTCTTTTTACCTTGTAGGTTCAGCTTTTTCACCAGTCAATTTTACAAATTCACTTTCTAATTCATTAATTGTGACTTGCGGTAATGATGCAATTTGTGGTTTCATGGCTGCACCAATCCACCTAAAATAAATTAAGTAATTATATAAGCAATAAGTAGAAGAATGAAAAGAAAAATTTTCAAACCTAAAAATTTCGATAGCCAATTGTTTTCCTTCGTCTCGTACCGATTTATCTCGATCACTCATTAATGGTGCTAATTTCTTTATTAATGGTTTAACACCTATTACTTTACTACCAAATTCCCTTAATGCTAATGTAGCACATGCAGTACATGCTGCAACAATTTTAGGATTTTTATGTTCCATACCCTTTAATAATTCTTCCATAACAGCTTCTTGTTTTTCAATTTCAATATACATTAATGTTATTTGTACAGATAATTCTTTTGTTTTTGTTTTTGGTGCGGCAATACATTTTTGTACAATACCGGACATTGTTTCACCAACTGTTTTACCCGCATTTGCTGAATTTTCAACAAATATTAATGTTGCTTCTAAACCTTTTTCTTGTGCAACAGCATTCGAATCAATTACAAACTTTTTTACCAAACCTAAAAATTTATTCCATTCTGGTGATTTTTCATCATCAATTGATCTAAAAATTTTTGTTGCTTCTTCATAACCATCAACACGAGCTTTCCATAATTTATGAACGCAACGTTCTTCTACAGGAAGTTTTTTATATTCTGTATCTTCATCCATTTTTTATATATATATTTTTTAAATAAAGTTCTTTAAATAAATAACTTTTTGTTATTTTATAAAGAGAAAAAAAAATTTGCTCTTTCAGTTTGATTTAAATGTTATACTGATTATCCTGAAACTGAAATTAGAAAATAAAGAAGAAATATAATTTTTAATTTTAATTCAAGGATGACTTCATAAATATTTTCAAAAGACATTGACTTTGATTTGACAAAATCAGTCAATTGAATAAAAAATATTTTATTAAAATCAATAAATGTTTTTGAAAGAATTTTTATTCAAAAAACTGTCATAATTATATGTAGAAGAAAATCTTTTTATTCCAAATTTGTCTAATATATTTTTTTTGTATTAAATTAATGTATAGTTTTCATAGTTGATTTAACAATAAATATCAAAAAGAAAACAATGAAATATTAGTTAATACATGTACAATTTATTTTTAAAAATTATTTCGGTAATTCCGAATAGAATAAGATAGAGAACATGTTAAATACGTATTAAAATTATTAAAATTATTGAATTGAAAATATAAGAATTTTCACTATTGAAAAATACTATTTCTTCTTTAACTTTATACTCGTATTCTAGTTTAAAAATATTTAAACTCTTTTTAAACTAGTGCAGGAATTCAAAATGTAAGTTTTGGTATTTTCTCATTGCAATTAGCAAATTCAAGAATTTTTTGGATTGCACTTAATGTAAATAAAGTACAAGTTCAACGCAAGTAAGTAATGTTTTTTAATTTCCTTTTTCCTGTACAATAAAATCAACGCAATGAAGCGCAACTCAGCATAAAAAAGAAACGATGTTTGTGAAATTAATGAAATTGGAAATACTTCAGATAAAAATTTAAAAAATAATATAGAAAACTGTAAAACAATTTAGTAACACAATTGTCATTATTATAAATATTATTTTCAAATCGATGTATATGTATATATATTGTTCTATTGATTAAGTTAAAACAAGAAAAGGAAAAGAAACAATAATGAAAAGTTTTAAACCATTTCTATTAAATGGATAAAAGACATAAAAGATATATACGTATATGTATATATAAATATATATATATATATATATATATATATATCTTCATTAACATAATTACGTCATAAAGAAAATAAAATCGCTTATATCGAATAAACATGTAATTTTAAATATTAAAAATATTTAAATATTAGAATATCTTTGTCGTTTTGCGCATAAGTTACATTAATAATGTTAGTTTCTAAAAAGAATTTATTTTGTCAAAAATTGCGTGTTTAAATTGCGTACATATTTTATAATCGATAAATGATTGACTATAATGAGTCTTATACGAGTCAAAAGAGAAACAAAGAGTATTTCATTATACATTTTCTTCCTGTTTATGTTAAATGGCAGTAGCCGCACAATGTCTTTTTAAGTAAAATAAAAATTTTCTATCAATTAAAATTTTATATTTAAGTAACTGGAGTACGCTTTCAAAAAGTAGCTTTAAATTAAAATTGAACTTAAATTTTATACTACATTAAAATTGGGAAATTTAAATCATATTATAATTTATTGCCTTTGTCATGTACGTAGTTGAGAAATTTTTAATCAATATTCTTCTCTCGCACAATAATTTAAATTATATAATAAAATTGCATACATTTAGTAGTAAATTCACATGCTTAGTAGTAAATTTGTTTGTTTTACGGAGAATGAGTTTTACATATACTTTTAATTTAAATTTAAAATATTACTAAATATTACATATTAACATAACATTATGTATATAAATTCATAATTCAAAATTATGGAATATGACTTTGCGCCTTTTTCAATCATCTATGTACATTTTTAAAGATTAAATTTTTTACTTACAGAATTCTTGACAAAACAAAAATGATATTAAAAAACAAACTCATTTCTGTTTTGTAATAATTACATAAATTAAAAAAATTGAAAAAAAAAAAAACAAATGTTAAAAATAAATCAAAATTAAATTCCAAATGAAATGTACCGTCACATACAAAATAAGGAAGAGATTTTACATAAAAATTTTTATAACGAAAAATAATTATTGTTGCCAAAATCAAAATTATGACCTAATTTTTTCATTTTATTTTTAAAAATTGCAGCACATTTCTTGTTGCTTCTGATAATTTAACTTATAAAAAATTTTCTTCCTGTCCACAACACAAAACACTGAAGAAGAAAAATGAAATGGCTACAATAAGAGGACAGTATTATTGTAATAGTGGTTGGTAGAACGAGATTTTCTTCAGATACAACCATATTTCAAATATTGCTATTTATTATAAAATTATTTTGTAATTTGGTTTGAAAAAATAGCTTTCATTTTATTAAAGTGAAAACTTCAAATTTTATTGACAAAATTAGGTAAAACAAAAACATTTTTCTATCAATTCAAAATTACAGTAAAATATTTGTCTTCTTAAAGTTTTGAGTTTTCAATTAAAAAGAGTTAAAAAACGCATATTTTTTTACAATATTTAGATATTTACAAATTAAGTCGGACCATAAATACAAACGAAACAACTAATAACAAAGCAATGCGGGAAATTTAAATTACGTTTAATATTAACTTTGATAAAAATGCATAATTCTTATATTATAACACTTCTAAATAAACATATATGTATAATAGTTTTAATTTTTCTAAATAACTCTTTCGTTTTTTATATACAAATGTTTCAGTTTACTTACACATGTATCTTTACACAAAATCAACTACTTGCACATACATAACGTACATACTTATTATTAATAATCATAATATGAAAAGTATACCTTAATAATTGATTTTTCAAAGCATATTTTTATCAATACATTCTTAAAATACCCTTATGTCCCTATTTTATTAGAATGCATTCACATTTTATTCGGCTTTGTTTATTTGCAATTGTTTTTTTATGTAAAAATTATTCTCTTAACCTACTTCTAACGTATTATTACTCTTTCAATTTGTGTAGTCTCACACCATCACGGTTATACACTCCTTTTGTACATTTTTGCATAATTACATATTAAAAAGCATTACAAAAGAATTATGTATACTCTTGACTTATTGATTGAAATTTTTCATTCGATTACCTTATTTAATTTCTTTAAACTCCTTTTTCTCGTATTTTTTATTAAGAATTATTTAAATTAATAGAAACAGTGGCATATTGGAACACATGAAATTAGAAAATTTGAAAGAATTCGATTTGAATCGTTTTACATTTTAATCAAATATAATTCTGAAACAAAATTTTTGGTATGATTTTAGATGACAATTTATTCTCTTATATTATTTAATCCGGGAAAGAAACGAAGCGAGAAAGTTGATAAGATCGAATTTTTCTTGAATATGCTAGGGAATTATTATTGTAATTTAATATAATATAAATTTTTCATTTTCACAATACATACTTAAGTTTTTTTATTACTACATTCTTGTAAAATTTTATAAAAATTTAAAAAAACTTTTAAATCAAAACTTTACGAAATTTTTCTCCCTATTTTAAATTATCCATTTAAATTATGTGAAAAAGAAAAGTTATTTTAATTATCTGTGACGAAATAAAAAACGTATTTAATCGTATCATATCAAAGAAAGTTCCTACAATACATACATAACTACATACATATGGTTACGAAATTCAACTCTGTCTAAATTTTACTTTTGTATAAGCATAATACATAATATTGTACATAATTTATTCTTATTTATCAATTTAAGTAGAACATAAAACATAATAAAGTGAAAAATAAAAACATGTTTCCTGCAATTCCGTCAAATATAATTTTTAGAAATATTCATTTTTCTTTCACACATTTATATGTATATATAATTTTCATGATGAGACAGTGTTGAAAAATATATAAGAGAAAATCTATTTTTTAACGAAATAGTAGAACTACATTCGTCTTTATATTGTCTTTTAATTTAATTTTAGTAGATTCGAATTAACATTGTTTCAGGAATTCCACTTGTAAATTAGTTATGATAAAAAATAAAAAATCGGAGCGCAGTGCATTTAAAGTCCAGCTACTGATCCTTGATTAAATTGAAAAGGTTGAATTGCTGCGTTCACAGGTTAATATATGAAATTCCAAGAAAAATTTTTTCCATAAACATTTTCCAAAAAAAATGGTTAAAAATGCAAAATTGCTGCATAGTTAAGATCTAGTTGCAAAGACCAGAACTTATTTCAAAGTTAATCAATTCGTCACATGGCGAAAATAAACTCAGATGTGCAAATTTCCAGATTGTTTCCTCCAATTCGTTGGAGAAATGCATTTCCACTAAAAAGTAGTGCCATTATTATATACCCTCATTATTATTTTATGTAATGCAGAAAGTTAAAATCATTAAGATGTTTTTAAACACAAAATATGTACCATACATATTTTTGCGCTGAAAACTAAAGTTACTATCACTGTTTAAAAAACTAAAAATAAAGGAAAACAATAGGGAAAATTTAAATGAAAAAAAAGAAAGCAAAACAAAATTAAAAGCAAAAAAAAATTTCATAATTTCTTTAGTCACCTAAAAACTATTAAGAATTTTTGCCAAGAATGATGACAAGAATAACAACAACATAGAAAATAAAAGGCAAACAAATCATTGCACATTCAAATAAAAGAATAAGAGACGAGATGCTTTGCTGCTATACTATACTTGAACTATGTACATATGTATATATTTTAGAGTATAAATGTGCATCTATTTTTATAAAACCCCAAGAGTGGGAAATAGATAAATATACATACTTGCTTCTCTAACTTACTGTTTTAATGCACTTTTATATGTGCAGGAATTGATATTCTTCAATGCAATTGTAAAACGATTTGAAAAAAAAAAATAAATTTTAAAAAGATTATTTTTTATGTGTGACATCGCTACATACAACTTTGCATTTAATATAAATGCACGAATACACGGATATTACGTATGTACATACATACTCGTATGTAGGTATAATCTAAATTTAATTTACAAATTATAAAGAAAAAATTCTTTTTTCTTTTCACATAATGGGGTTCGATAACCTCAAAAACAAACTTTATTTATTATTTTGTTTGTGCTTTTCTTATTAAACATGCATATACATCTATTCGTTCATACATACATACATACAA